GAAGGCATATACTCGATAGCGGACAAACGGGAGGTAATTAGAATCATCTAGTTGTTCTTCTTCTCCCCAAGTATTACTGTAACCAGTACGGGTACTAGGTTATTGGTTTTGTTTTATGTTTTATTTTAAGTATCATTTGATACTTGGTTTTGTTTTGTGTTTTTATGTATCATTTTGATACTTAAGTGGTTTTACCAAAGTGTATTGCTTGATACCTTTTATTAGTTTCATTCATGCTAGACATGAGCAGATTTGTGTATTTAAAGACTTCCTGATTCCATGATGGAAAAGGCAGACTTCGACAGATAATATTTCAATATACTTGGTTGAACAATTACTCTTTACTTTCCCAGTACACCTTTGAAGCCTCCTTTAGTTCTCAACTCTCACCTCCTCTCTGGTAGAGCAGGCCACCTGTCAGCTATAGTACCTTATCCTGAAACGTGACTAGCACCTTGCAAACATGTTACAGCCGAGTCAAACCCCCGAACCAACCCAACTGTTTCTCAGTTAGCCAAATCACAACAGGAGGAACAACCTTTCACTGCAAGGATGCCGTAGATGACATCAACGACCTCCTTGAACATGTGCGGCCTCCTGGCCTTCACCATCCACCGGATCTCCCCATCCATGGCGGAGTCCATCGCGTTCTTGCATCCCCAAATATGTTGGAAATCAAGAAACCCAAAATCATCACATCCCGAGATATCGTAAGACCTCGTAGTGATAGGTACCAGCCCCCTACCTTCCCGCGGGAGATCAGGCCGCCCAGCCTCCGTAGGCTCGCCGTCTGAGCACACAATCACAGACCCCCCAGAAGAGGAGGAAGACACAGGCGATCTAGGGCCGTCCGAGGACTCCCTAAATCTATCATAGGCACCGCTGTTATGGCCGGGTGTCGCCATAATCAACCCCAGACTACCGGGCAAAGCCACGAATATCTCCCTTGAGTATCAGGTAAAGCTAAACAACTTTGAGAGTCACCAGGACTGCTCAAAGTAACCTCGCACTGCAGCAAAAACCACCAATCCCAACCGCAAAGTTCACCGTCAAACAAATAATTGTTTGATGAAGCCATGAGAATTCAATAAAAGCCAATCAGAAAGAAAAATCCCGATTAGAAACAAAAAGTGTGGTCGTGAACGCGGGAACGCTTGAGATACTTTTTTTCTTCCCTTCTCTCTCCTTCTATGCTCCTCCGTTATTCTCTTTTCTATTTCTTAGATCATGCTCTCCGGGGTTGTTGTTCATGTTGGCCTGTCGTTGGACCCCATTGGAAAAGGAAGTATCATGTGCCGAGGAGGTAATTGGAAGGGTACGGCGGAATTTCCCGATATCACATAGGCGGCCATCCCGAGTACCTTAAATATCTCCGTACTAGGAGTATTCCACCCTTGAATGCAAATGGGAACAAGAAAAGTGAAAGAAAAAAAAAAAAGGGAGGCAAATCCTGGCACCTGTTGGGAGTGCATTGGATCCGAAACGGACATAGTTCCCCAGCTCGCTAGCGACGCCATCATCATTGATGGATGGAGGGATGGAGGGATGAATGGAGGGGAGGGAGTATGATTTTTCACTTTCCCTTCCTCTCCCGGCTCGTTGGAAATGCAACTTGCTTTGCGGGGAAAAAACCCCACTTTTTAGTTGTGTGGTTGTTCCTGGTGCCATTCTCGATACGTAGCTTCCAACAAGTAGACCACATACTCTCTCCACACCAATACGCTTCTTGAATGAATTCAGTGTGTCCCCTTGCTTTAGACTTCCGCACCATGTCAACAATTTAAAGCCTTAGCCTTGACTCTCATGTAATAAGTGAAACTGTCTTGTCGTTGCCTAGATTTCCCGAGGGTCTAGTGTCACGGACGGCTCGTTTCTTGTTCACGAGGGTGTCTGGTATGCATGTGATTCTTATGTCGAGTGATACTTGGAGAATCGAGGGGGTGAGCAAATCATCTATCCGGACCTAAAAAAAACCTAAGAATTAGCCTGTCGTTTTAGAAGGGAAAAAAGGCCTCAAAAAACAAGAGGAAGCTTGGACCATGTCTTTTTTCCCTTTTCTTTTCGGTGTGGGGTTTTATGAATGTTCGACAATATATATACTGTGCGCATCTAAGATTGAGAAATATGGATGCGTGATGGCCGGCACAATCCCTTTGGAACAAAAGCTCGTGTTTACGCTCGGTGCGCAATGCAGCGTCAAATTCAATATAATTTATTTATCCTTGTATCGCCGACCCGGCATCAACAAAAAGGCTGGTAGGGGGAAGCATAGTTTCCTCATGGAGCGAGATGGACAACTCCGTGGTGTATTCCCGGCGTTGGCCAGTAACACACCAAGGAACAATAATCAATATACCGGTAGGCTTCAAATACTGTAAATACCGGGCTGACACTGGCCACCCGAGTGAAAAATCTACCCTAAGGGCCCTACGGATAAAAGCCAACAGCCAAGAGTTGGCGGGAATCGAACGTAAAGCATGCATTCCTTCTCGGTTGTGATGGAGATGTCTCTGGGAATTTGTTAGGATAATAAGCAACACGATATAAATTCCATATAAGCTCTACCATGACTCTAGGATTCTGCATGGACTTAACCCGCCCAACGCGCTTCGAGAGGGTTTCGATACCTTTCTCCGGCGAGTGACTGTTCATGAATCCTTTTATAATGGTACCCCTCCATTTACGTGTTATGATAAAAGTGAGCCAAAGTCCACATCACCAATCCCTTGATTTCTGGCTTCCTCTCCGTGTATTGGTTGTGGCTTTGTCACCTTTTCTAGCGGGGAACAACCACAAATCGATTTTCTTGACGAGTGCTGGCATAACTGTCCCAACGACTAGTCCCTAACATTCTCGGCCGCTTATTTAGCTGGAAGTCTGTGCGACCCCTCTCAGCGCGAGCGTTTTGCCAACAGCCGGTGGTAATCGAATGGGGAGAAAGAGGGGGGTTCAATCCTCTCTTCTAATTTCCTAGGCTAGTGCCTATCCTAGATGCATAAGTTGAGCGCCAACGGATATTAATGATGGCCCAACCTATTTTCTGAGGAAGGGTGTTGACCAACTGGCGATGCATTTGGTTGCGCGGAGATCGGAGATTGTGTGACCCCTAGACAGCTAGTTCTCCTAACGGCACAGGGGGCAAACTCCCAATCCTATGCCGATATCGAATTTTACCCCACCTAAGGGAGCACCTGTCACTCGATCCAGGCGCTCAGGTGGCTATTAGCACCGTAACCTCATCCCCCCAGGTTTTGATCTCAGGAATACCCATATCCTAAGGGTGGGTACCTCTAAATTACTAGCGGTTCGATGTTAATTTTCCCCGCACGATACTCGCGGGAGTTCTCATTAGCCGACATGGGGTTAGATCCGGTGCAAAGCGTCCAGGATCATATGATGTCACTCGATCCATGCAATCCACTGTAGATCTTGTTAGAATCAGGGGGTAATCCCAGGGGAATACCAAATATGGTAGGCCACCAAAAGGCGCAATGTTCTCTCTGAGGTCTGCCTCGATAATCGGGTGTGATTGCATCTGCACTTGGTGATTTGCAGTCTAGCCCCCGAACCCTGCCCCCTTTTGTGCTTTTGGGGAAACTGTTCGCGGAGAACCCGCGAGTCGCATGACTTCGCGAGAAATGTATCGATAGAGTGGCTGTGTCTGGGCGTGCAGTGAATGAAACTCGGATCCAAAAGCCGGAGTAGTAGCATCCTGCTGCTTGTCGTTCGTTCGCATTATTGGCTTTGACATTTCATTTTTGGAAATGCACAACTGGCACCGATAACTCCCTCTAAAGTGACCAATCCCTCGCAGTTTTTTTTCTTTTTCGGTAGGCTCCGACACCCTACAGGAATTCATGCCATATCACGCCAATCACACTGAACCATTTGGAGTGGAAAAAGCAAGTCTGTGGGTTGCTGTTCGCAAAATTCTGAATAGTTCTTACTAGGCGGGTGCGTACATTTTTGAATGGCCCGAGGGTTAGAGGAGCACTGCAGTTGGTAATGCCATACCCGAGTGCTTTGGAATGCTTGCTCTCTGGTTGCCAGCCACTGCCATACTGTAGGCTGAGTGAAACGAAGGCAAACCTTTTGTACAAGACAAGGCGTCCAATTACTGTTTTAACTCGAAAGGTCCCCTGACGCATTGAGCCCCGTCAGCGAATAATTTGGCAGGGCAATCCAGCTTCTTGCCCGGCTGATGTTAGGTAAAATGAACACAACATCAAGGTACGAGTGATATAGTGTGATACACGGTGTGTTCCGGTATTGATTTCTGGAGTGCGGCGGATTCGTGAATGCAGATAATAGCCGGTGGCAATACCAGCAGTTCGGCGAGGTAAGGACGAATAGTTTAAGGTTCCGTTATTAAGCGCTCACAACTATAAGGAGGACCGTGAAACATGAAATCTTAACCTGGACGCGGAAACCGAGAGCGTGACCGAGAGTTGTAATATTGTCTGGATAAGCTTAAGCACCGCAATTACGAGTTCGTTTACGAGACTGCTCGGGCAGGTTAACCAATGGTGTGATCTAGTATGCTGCCAGGATCAGGCGCAGCTTGCATAGGGTGCGTGACGGCTGCTCAATTCTGATCCGGCGAGGGTTTGCGGTAACACCTCCCACTTCTAGTAAGATATTCCCTCATTTATTTTCTCATAATAGTCTCTTTTCGCATGGTTTAAGGGATAATTGGACTCTAGGCTTGAGCACCGATATCCGTGTAGGTAGCTCGAGATCTAGAGTATAACGTTCTCATGCACCATAAAGCACACACAGCCTTTCAGTATACCGGGAGTGGCCACCCGGGTAGCTCTAGGTCTTTATTTCTGCTTCTAACGATCGCTTTTAGGACAAAAAAAAAATGCCGCGCGTGTGTGGTGAAAATGCTCTGTGAAACACTCAGCCAAACCCCCAACCGAAATTTTTTATGGAGGGATTCCATTACGGTACTTCCACGACATCCACCGAAGGGACTCAAAGGCTAATTCACGGGAAATTTGGTTATGCGCCTCATCGTGACGATCACCACCAAATCCCAGTATACCGCGCGGAAAACTAAATCTAATCACTTCCAACAATCGTTATCCTGGTCATACCCAATCAACTCCGGATCAATCCCCAAAGCTTTCAGCATTACTCCCATTGTAAACTCCTATCATGATAAGTTAGTCATTGCACCGACATAAGGAACACAAAAAGGGTAATGTGTACCTCATCTTCGCCACCTTTTCCATAAGTAGGCTGTTTTTCATCATCGTCCCAACCCCTTTTCCCAATTAATTCCTTCCAACCTCCAGGGCCAGCATTCGTTGCTCTCTGACTAGTTATCTCATATAACGCATCTGCTGCGCTGCTGGCTGCCGTCCTCCACTTCTCTATCAACGCTTGCAATTTCTCTTCACCACGCCCGTCGGCTGCCGTCTCGATGTTCAGAGCCTGTTTTGCAGTGTCTAGCAATGCCCTCTTCCCCCGCAAATTTGCCTCCAAGGTTGATTGCTGCTTATACAGCTTTGTTAACTCAGGATTTTGAGGGGCTGAGGAAGTCCGTCTGGTGGTAAATTGAAGGCTCGGACGGCGACGATTTGTAGCTATTGGAGCATCTGTAACCGGAGAGGTAGGAGATCCCACTGATGAAGCAACTGATTTTGTAGGAGAAGGAGTTGTAGCAGTCGAGCGAGGTTTGGAGAGCAGAGGTGAGCGGAAAGGTTTTGACAAGGTGTTTGTTGCTATACTGAGCCGACGGCGTTTCGCTTCTCGAACATCCGAATTTGCAGGGCCTTTTGGCATAGCAGAGGTATCCGACACGGAGGATTCAGCCGGGGAATCGGGCATTTGAACTGAGTTGTCAAGATGATCGTTGAACTAGGTTGTTGAGTTGTTTGCCCCAGTTGCCTTGGCGAGGTGTGACGAAGGATCTATGCCAAGAGTTCCTTATCGATAAGCATGATATAAGGCAGACAGACGGTCTTGGCACTACTGTTATGAGACTCGAGGTATGATACCATAATAATATTATTATGATAGTCTATGCCAATCTACGAGCACTCTTGTATTAGAGCCGTTTGGTTCCGCCATTAAAAGCATTGAAAATTTCCGATTTTTCCAAGGGCGGGGTGGCCCCAGGTGAGTACCGGGCAAGACAGTAACACCTCCTAGGAGAAAATGGTAGCCCGAGCTGAATGAGTTAAAGGCTACTTTGGTCTACCCTAGCTCCTTTTGTTCTGGGAGAGGAGCTCTAAGGCTGATAACTCTTACCTTGGAAGGTTTTCAACCAAAAAAGGTGGATCGAGCGGCAGAGGCCCGGTGGTCCGATTGTGTATTCAAGTACCCGTACGGTGTTGCGTGCACCCTGTGTGGGGAAAACATTCAGCATTATTACAACTGTTTAATTAGGGTAAATGTCACTAGAAAGACAACCAACTTGAACAGAAGAGGTGAAATCATTATCTTAATCTTAATACAAGCTCTTATCCAAAGCCTCTTCGCTAGTCAACGCCCTTTCTTTTATTAGATTCTTAATCCAAGTGTCTCTCATCACATCTGTAATGCAAGGTCAAAATTGAATAACCTACAAGCCCTTCCTTAAGTCATTGAAATCAGGCTAGCCAATGAATCTTCCTATAGGCCGGGAAGGTGGACAAGAAACCTTATATGGCTTAATCCTAATACATGATATATCCCAGAATTTTGACTATATTACTTCAAGTTGTGTTTCTTGGGTAGTTGGCTGCTATAGGCTTTGAGGCTGTTTTCATGCAATAACCAGCAGCTTCCTGCCGGCGAGGGCGCTCTAGCTTCAAGCTACAGTGGACGGAAGAAGGGCAGGAGGAGTTTAGATCTCTACCCGTTTCTTCCTGAGGTATTGCGGTGTTCCAAACCCCTAGACAGATGGTGCAAGAAATTATGAGAACCCAGCGTTGCGCTTATAATAGTTAAATTATTCCATTTCTTCTTTGATAATATTATAATGGTTTCGCCCTCTACCAGAATGTACTATATCCTGTGCACAAAAATATCTATTGCATTTGAAAATCTCTTAGGATGACTAGGGACTTGAACTACAGTGGATGGATTTCCCAAGTGGATATTTCTAAAATCCCAAAATTCAATCAATAATTCTCCAGTACGGTACTTTCAACCAGAGATAGATATGACTACCAATTTTCTAGCATCAGGAGGCAGCTATCATTCGTGCAATCTTAATCAGCAGTATTTTGGTGAAGCGATTTAGCCGGCCGGGGTTTGGGGAGTTTGTTCTGAAAGGCTTCAGGAAGTCAACCTGCAGGGAAGGTTGATGTTCATCATAAGGTATCACTCGCCACCCAATTCCTTTGGGCCTTGTAGATACCATCCCAGTTCATCAGGAGGAGAGATCAGAGTTCACCATGGCTTAGCCACACCAGGCGTCTCTAAATTATTGTATCCCAACCCATAGCTTTGATCCCTGTACCCCTCAACCCTCCCCCCCCGCATGGTGCACCGTCTGGACGAAAGCTCACCTAGAGGGGATACTTTCTCCTGATCAGGTGGGTGTCACTGATTTCCAGAAAAGTGCCGATCAAATATCCTCACCGAACGCATCATCATCCATGCTCTACCTCACAAGAATCGACCTACTACTCGGTCCGGGACCTCACCGGAATCCACCGGTTTATCTACCACCCCAAAAACTCCAAAACTGAACCATATGCTCTCCAGATCCTCCAGGGGACAGGGAAAAATAAATAAATACAGGACCAAATCTTACCCGAGGAGCGGACTCCACCGACATAGCACCCGGTTCGATTATTTGAGATTCTACAATAGTGCCCTAGTGGAATCGAAGCTTCGGCTATTTCTTGGGATCTCGTGCGAAAGCGTGGGCGCTATCTGATAAGAAGGGCCTTATGCTTTTTGGACCGCTATTGCTTTTATCCTTTGAGATTATTATTTTCGCCCGCTTTGGCGTTCTAGCTTCGATAGCATTACCCAAAGCCGTATCAGGGGAACCTAGCGTTTAAGCGTTATCGTCACGTTCAACAAGTCACGAGCGTGTCCACAGGAGCCGGCAAAGAGGGACAGAAATAAGCGTGGAATTCTTGCCCGGAAAGAGGGTCCAGGGTTGAAGTTTTTTCAGAGGTTTCCGAGCCACAACAACTCAACCAAGAGATACAGAGTATGGCAGACTTAAAACCACATTTTAAAAGGATATCTTTTCTCGCAAAGGGCACCGGGGTTAATTGCCTCCTGACCACCCTGCCCGCTGGGCCAGTTATGGTACGTATCTCACGTAGTGCTACCTGGGAAACGAATCGCCACCCCGCGCCGGCAGGCGATTTGGATTTCTTCGTCCGCGTTTAAGGGCTTTGGGGCGGTGGCTTATGATATTGTTCGTTGATGGTGATACTATAGGAGCGGATATATTCTCAAGAGAAGAGAAGTTATAGGCATTAATCGCTGATGGGTAATAGCAAGACCCCTCCCTATTTAACGGAGTAATCACAGTGGGAATGGCAATAATGAATGGGGATGGTTTTCTGAGGGCAGGATAGGATCTGTATTGAAACCCGTACATTGGGGGGTGCATAACACAGGAGTACTATAGTATTCCTGACTTATTATAATCACGGTCAGGGCATTGTTCTTGACTTTAAAACCGGCGTTATGGCAGATAGACTACTCATACCAATAGCCTTTTCTTATAATACAAGCAAAAGCCTTCTCTAGATCCCGCCACGAGAACTATAGCGTACGCCCCAACTAACCTCAAACGCTAGGTACTCGAAAACATCATGGAATGTCACTCGTAAAACTTATCATACTGACTGTCTAGTATCATACCTACTCAAGAGAACTTAAAGGTGAAAACTACTGTACAGGTGATACATCATGACTGCACTGTGCTACTAGATCAGGGTTGCCTTCCTTTTAGTGCGTTACTGCCGAGAAGAAAACCAGTTCCAATCCTGCGACTCGAGTATCATCATATCTATCCATTCCAAGAACATTCACATCCACCAATACGACCCACTCTGGGCAAAGCAAAAAGAAAAGCCGGTAATAAAAAGGAACCAACAATGCTACACTAGGCCGCCCTTCTGTCAAGAAAACAAAGAAAAAAGCTGTACATTGAAGCCACCCGAACAAAAAAAAGCCGCCCTAACCCACTTAGCGATTTAGCCATCCCCAGGTTCACTATTTAATATTAATGATCCACGCGACAACCCCACGCATTCACCCGAAAGCCCTCGCCCCATTGCACAAAAAAGAAAGTAAACCTTAACGATTTCAGGTGGCCAAATGCCCTGACCCACACTCACAACCCCGCATTAATCCTCCTCCGCAACCCCCTCTTTCTCCTTCTCTATCAGTTCTTCCAAGCCGCCAAATATAGAACCTTTGGGCAAGCGCGTAAGACCCTCTTCGAAGACAGGACCGATGGAAGTCATCCACTTCTTCCGACGCTCCATGAGGGTTCGTGCTGCTTCACCGATACCAACACGAGCTTGAGCGACGCCAACACCATTGGGCACCACCTTCTTCTTCTTGGTAGCCTTCATATTGCGAGTGCGTTTCGAGTAGGCTTGCTCGACCTGTTGTGGAGTGAATTTTAATTCGTCAGCCAACGTGCCTCCTGAAATGTAGAGAGTTGGGGGTAGAATAAAAGGAGGGGAAAGAGCATTTTGTCTCTCTGCGGTAGGGCAAGGCCTGAGTGATGGCAAACTTGTCGGATTGCTCTGGGGAAAATATTGGGTATCATGGATATCTTGGGAACATTTCGGGAACATTTTAATAGTGTTTGGAGGGACGGGCTCTTTACTAACCTGCTTATCTAGATCGTCAAGAATAGTAGCATATTCTTGATACGCCAATTGCTCCTTCAGGATATCTGCAATACGGGCCTTTCGTGCCCCGTTTAACGCGGCCTGTTCGCGGAGTTGAGCTTGTAGCATGCGTAGGCGGGCCGAGACATCATCATCTTCCCGGGATTTCCAGTCTGGCTCAGTGTTAGGGCCGAGCAGTCCTATGTATGCCATTTCGCGTTGGATCCGTTCCTCTAATGAATGATAGTCAGATTTACCAACGGGTACCTTCCAGCCAGGCTGTGTCGATTCCGGCATGGTTGACGCAGTGGCCACCTGCAGAGTCGATTCTCCATTGGCCTGAGTTTGCGAGGATGACGAGGCATCGCCATCTCCCATTGATGCATCAGGGTTGAGCTCCTCTGGAATAATGGCTGCTATGACCCTTGATAGCAAAGGCCCGCAAGAGAGAAGGTCATCCTTCTCCAGTACATCATCCGTAAGGTTATCCGGGTTTCCTTTCGGTACATTGGGGTTTCTGGGCCCGTTAGTAGACGCTAATGGGGACGCAAAGCCATTATCCTCTGCAGCCCATGCCTCCGTGTAGGGAATTCCCAAGGCAGGAATGATATAAGGTGTCGACCGATTGCCCCTCTCCCGCAAAAATCCCAGATCCTCTTCCGAAAAGGGTCTAAAATAGGGGTCTATGAAGGTATTAAAAGTGTTCATGGCAACCTGGTTAAAGGGTTTCGGATTCGAAAAGTCCGCATCTGGAGGGTCCCCGGGTCCAAGGTCTGTTAAGTCTACCTCGGGGAACCTCGTAACCGAATAAGCGTTCGCCTTCTCTTCGTATGTGGATTCGCCAGTAACTGTAGGAATTTCATATACAGTCGGATCATTTTCAAGTGTCTCTAGTAAAGAAAAAGGAGCTGTAGACACCGACTGATGCTCCTCGGAACCTCGGATCCGTGAAGGGGAGGTACTAGATTTAGTCGGCCTCTCGTCCGGGGGGCTCTCTGCCTTGCGCTTTTTTATCTTATCACCTAAGAGGCACATGTTAGTAACTTCCTTTATGGACCGAAGGGTTCAACAGGTAAATAGGCCGCAAAGATTTGCGGACCTTTCACAACTGCCTCCGGACCTTGAATTATCACTTGATGGGCACCAACGGCCGGTGGCCTCTTGCTGTCCGAGTCCCTCTCACCCTTATCCTTTTTTTTCCTATCCCTCTCTGCTTTAGCCTTATCCCGTTCCTTGCGTTCCTCATCCTCAACTGCTTTCTTCCGCTTTTCTTCTTCGATTTGTGCCTGACGTTCTTTCTCTTCAGCCTTTCTAACTTCGACTTTCGTATTCAGTTCTCTCAGACTTTTCTCACAAGATTTGCTTCTCCGCTTCGCATTCGCGTCGAGCGATAGCAGATCCGATCTCAGCGAAGACAGGTTGCCTGACGTAGGAATAGACGAGGTATCTGTAGTCGAACCATTTGTATATTTCTCGAGTATGTCTTCATAATTTGCGCGTACAGTTGGTATCAGCTCAGAAGAAAGATGCGTCGTCTCGGAAAAGGCGCTGGTAGAGGCTGGAGTGGTGTTCCTACTCCTAGAGCGACGCTGTGAATTTCCAGCACCGCCGGGTCCATTGGCTCGAGTTTTGCCCTTGCCCTTTCCGCCTTTTCCCGACATTACTGTAATGCTTTCAGTAGTAATAATATGCCCTTCACAACGTTAGAAGGAGCGGTAAGCGCGGGATGGAGTTTGGCAGAGGCGAGAAGTGCTTGCACAGTTGGGGAGCAACGAGTTTGTTTAAGCGGAGGTGCCTGGATTTACCGACGTCGATCTTAAGGGTTGAGGGAAAGAAGGCTTGAGGGAAGCAATGAGCGAAGTAGGAGGAGTGGAAAGGAGGGATGGAGGAAAGGTTTAGGTGGAGAAGCGAATGAAGCAATAGTTTTTGAGCGGAGTTTCTACTCCCGTGTTTGTGGATTTTTTCTTTGGCGTGGTTTGAGATGGACTTGAGTGTTGATGAGCTCAGAGTGTGAGCCCAGCTAACCAACGCCAAGCCCAAATCATGCCAAATTATTGCCGGACGCCAGAAATCAACCCTCACCCGAACGAAAATAAATAGTCTACCCAACTCTCCGCAACAACAGGGTTTTTGAGAAACAAACTCCACTGAGCTAAGCTATGGATAGTCTACTCAGAACCAGCTCCTCTTCAATTCTACCGACTCTAATCTACTCGAGTACAATATTATTGGGTGAGAACCGGCTGAGGACGGTAAAATGTGCATTCTTTGGAAGTAGAAAATATCATACGATACATTAGGAATTTATGCCAAGGCACTGTTTTTTTGTGTGAATTACAACATTACTAAGCAAAGAAGGGAACAAAAAGTCTCTTTTCAGTGTCCGGCACCGCCCTATTGGTAGATAGTTGCATTGAAGTGTAACTTATCATAGAACATTGGAGCAGAACGCAAGGGTCCAGTCACCCAAACAAGGACATTGTTCTCCGCTCTTCAATTTTCACAGAAACTCTCCCAGGGCAGGCAGAGGAAAAAAAAACATTTCCTTCTCCCCTGGCCCATTGCCAACGATCCAGCAACCACACCACCAAGATTAAACGTCCCTCGCTGTCTCACGTCAATTTTTCTCCACCGACACGAGGATCGCTAAATAATGACCTTCCTAATTCTCACTGAGACTAGTGCTGGCTACGCCCTTTTCAAAGCGAAGGACAAGAAACTTCTCAAGAAAGATGACCTGGCTAAAGAGATGAGCACCCCCGAGGGCGCTGCTAGTTTGTAAATTCCCTAGCACCCATACCTTTACCCCAACTTTTGATCAAAACTTCTAACCAAAGTTTTCTAGAGTGAGGTTGAAACAATTTTCAAAATTCGATAGTGCGGCAGCTGCTCTGGAGGAGGTATCATGCATTGTGGAGAATAAGGTGTCTCCTATGCTCTCTAGTCTATTAAACTCGGTCAAGGATGAAAAAAAGGCATCTCTCGTTGTTGCTGATCCAAAATTGGGTATGTTTTGTGCTTTCCTCGCTGCCCCACCGCCCGAAAATACCAATGTTGCTGACCGCAATGGTGGGGCAAAGGAAATGCCATCAACAAACTTCCTGGATTGTCGTTTCAAATTATCTCGGATTCCTCTACCAATGACCTATATCGAGCAATACGCGAGCACCTTACGGCATTGATTCCAGGCTTGACTCCTAACGATGTTTCTACTATGTCATTAGGTCTATCACATTCCCTGTCGCGGCACAAGCTCAAGTTCAGTCCTGACAAGGTCGATACCATGATCGTGCAAGCAATCGCACTTCTCGATGACCTTGACAAGGAGCTTAACATTTACGCAATGCGCGTCAAGGAGTGGTATGGGTGGCATTTCCCTGAGATGGGGAAAATTATCAACGATAACCTTGCCTATGCCAAGGTTATCAAGGCTATGGGCATGAGAACCTCTGCCGCTACAACAGATCTTGCGGAAATCCTTCCGGAGGAGATCGAAACTGCCCTCAAGGCAGCAGCAGAAGTTTCAATGGGGACCGAAATCACAGCTGAGGATCTCAACAATATCACACTACTCGCAGACCAGGTTATTTCCTTTACAGAGTACAGGCAACAGCTTTCCTCTTACCTCTCCGCTCGCATGACCGCCATTGCTCCCAACCTCACGGCCCTCGTTGGTGAACTTGTCGGCGCCCGTCTTATTGCCCATGCGGGTTCTCTCATGAACCTTGCCAAGTCTCCTGCTTCAACTGTCCAGATTCTCGGTGCTGAAAAGGCTCTTTTCAGGGCTCTCAAGACTAAACACGATACTCCCAAGTACGGATTGATTTACCACGCATCCCTCATTGGGCAATCAACCGGAAAGAACAAGGGAAAAATTGCTCGCATGCTTGCTACCAAGACGGCCCTCGGTTTGAGAGTTGACGCTCTAGCCGACGATAAGGATGGATCGGCGACTTTAGGCTTGGAGATGAGAGCCATGATTGAGAACAGAGTTCGAAAACTCGAGGGCAAGCCGGCTGTTCCTCGTGGCAACGCCAACACAACATCCATCGTCAGTTTGAGAGCACCTGGGAAGTGGGAGATAAAGGAGGCTAAAAAGTACAACCCCGATGCGGACACTGCCATGGAGGATACACTGCCGGCCGCTCAAGCGGTAGCCGAGGCCGCTGTAAGGGCTATCGGCCAAGATATTGCCATGGGCGACGACGACGAAGAATCATCCGAGGATGGTGAGGAGGCGGAGAAGACCGAGAAGGGAAAGAACAGTCTCGTACCTGTTATTCCCACATCCAAGGATGACAAAGAAGGGGAAAGTAATGGGGACGACGAAGATGAGGAAGCAAAGAGGAAGGCTGAGAAGAAAGCCAGGAAAGAAGCTAAAAAGTCCAAGTCGTCCAGCAAGAAGAGACGAAAGAGTGAAGTCTCTGAGGAGCACAAGAACAAGAAGAGCAAAAAAGATGGCGAGAAAGGAGAGAAAAAGAAGAGGAGAAAGAATGATGCGTAGCCATTCTATTAGCGTGATTAGAATAGGGCGAGGCAGGTTCGCCCCTGTAGTATACTCAACGGATCTCGAATGTTACATCTCTTTCTTCTGCCATCCTGGCCGTTGGATGTTTATTATATTGTCTTTGCTCCTATCTCCGTTATATCTTCTTTCTAGTCTACCCTTGCTCACACGATGATGTCGGATGGAAGGGGGTTTGTATCTTACTCCGGCCTTGCACCAAAAGTTATTTTGAGACCTATCATACTCCACTTGAGCGGATATAAGGTTGATTCGATTAAATGCATGCGATAGTTTAGCGACTACAAGTACAACGAACCTTATTTTCACTGAATTTTAAGCCTTCTGCAGGTCACAAAAGGATCAAGTTGCCGCTATGCCAATCCCACCTGGACCCAACCCCGATACGGTGGATTTGAGTGAGTTTCGGTGATGAAAAAGTTTACTCGCCTACGAGTAGATCAAGAGTCTATCCCCCAGGTATTGAGGTATTGGCACCATTGGCAATAAGGCAATTACCCCCCCTCCCCCCGGGCAGCCCTGATGATAGGAAAATTATGTTGACGCGGGAGTTATCGCCCACAGGCCAATATCCACAAAAACCGGTGTGTCTCTAGTACGAAGTGCTCAGGTGCAATTCTTACAAGCAAGGTATGGTGGAGTGGTTGCTTGCGCATAGGAAAAGGCTTGGGGACACACTTTTGATTTTAGCGAGTTCCGTATAATACCGTACCCAGTCACCAGGTTCCTCGATAAATTGGGTTTCTAAATAAAGCCTCATGATCCATGAGCTCGTCTACGAGTATTCCCATGTTCCACTATGCTTGGCGGCTCCGCCCTGATGGCCTTATTAGAGCACTATGAGCTCGATCTTCGTAAATACCACACCCTACCATCGTACTAGTATCTATCATACCGCACTCGAGTAAATTTAGTTTACTCGTATTAACTTTCTTGCAGCCACTGGGCAGCGCAATTTGGAGCCGGGAAAGTTACAAAGTACGATACGGTGCCGATATCTGGTTTGCCAGGAGCCTAGCATGAGTATGATACAAGGGTAGGGACACATTAACCGGAACGGACAGGGATGTATTTCGCTGGGTAACCTCAAGTAACTGTTCCATAACTTCTTGAGGGACCTTGGTACTGTAGAATCTCGTGGAGTCTACTCCCTCCGTCAGCACAAAATAGGTTTAGTTCGACAAGTTAACAGAATTACGGATACCAGTTAATAAGATCCAACACCTGTTGAGAGTTGATCTTGCACTGTGTCAGTACGTACAACGCTAATCTTTCCCAGGAGCTTTGACCCAGAATCCGGAGGTTATGGGTTGGCCCAGATAGTGGATCTCACGGGAATTTGCGGTATCTGCAAGTGCAAGTGCCCGCGATAAAGTTAGTGAACGGTTAGGTTAAGTTAACCAGCAGAATAGTACCTGTCATAGACGAAAAATCATCCCTTGGCGCTTGCACTGTACTTAATTGAGATGCGAAACCACAATCCTGGGATTGATGACATATCAAACTGTTGCTGTTGTTGACAAAGCACAGAAATACTGTCGGTTGACGAAAGACCGCACGCGAGAGCAGATAATCAGCCTTCCCTACTCATTAAAGCTATCGGCGCAGCAGATTCCTCTTGATGCGGACTCAGTAACGGTGGAGCTCTCCGTTCGCGACCCCGTCCTTAAATGCTCACCGAACAGTAATAATCCGCCAATTCTACCCCCATTCTACGACATTTGGCAACCTCAAATTCCGCCCTCCCTTGGCATTGTCAACCCCCAAACCGCTGCGGCCTAGAAATACCGGTGGGGGTTCCCAAGTTGTGGGAATCAAAGGAGGAGGAGGAGAAGAGAAAATTGGGAGACCAAACAAAAGCCACCCGATATCCCTTTCCCCATTTCCTCTCGCTTGGCCTTATTTTCTTCACTTTCATTCTTCTGTCTCTCGCCTTCTCCCTCTCTTTCTTCCTTCATCACCGCATTACAATCCACAGGGTATCATACGATTCTGTACAGGGTCTATGCTTGTTTGCTTATATTATCGATATTCCATAACCTCGCACTCAAGTTTCGTCGGGTTTCGGCACCGGTAGTCTCACACCCAAGCTTACGTCTCTATACTGGCAAGCAACAAACAGCAGCAACAGCATCCTATTATATTTCTTATCCATCATTCTCATTCATCGCCTCTTCTTTTCTCACCTATCTCTCTTCGCTGTGTTTGATCTTATCCCCCAATATATATACCGCTGGATTTCCACTGTGTTTAGCCCCACCAGCCCTCTTACCGGCTTTATCGATACGTTCCACCGCCGCCACCACCACTACCATTATCACAATAATAACTCGGCAACACAAAATACAAGGGCTCGTGGGGGGCAGCCGCTAGCAATACAGACCATATGTGTAGGCCGTCTCTGTCCTACTATTTCACTTCCTCCCTCCAGCCAACTGAAATTTGCTTAACGTTTCCTCCAGCTGCACATAGTCTCCACGCGTCTGTGCTTATCCTCCCTAATCCCCAATTATCGAGCCCGGAACACCTTGCTTATGTACCCCGAGTGAAGGTAGGTTATTCAACACTGGGCACCTGAGTCTTGGCTCTTAATATCTCCACCCCTCTGACGTTGCCCGACCCCACAGAAAAACATTACTTTCGCTATCGATATCTCTGCCAACATCCGAACCCTTCACACGGGCGTCGCTTCGCAGGGTGATGACATCTCCGGCTTGCTCTATGTGCCTATGGTAAATGAGACCACGACATGCCATGGCCTCTCTTCTGTCCCTACCAACGTTACACACAAGGATGACCTTCCGGATGCCATCTACGATTTGATTGCTTTTGCGCCTTGGATGTCGAGAGACTGTAGTACTAGATTTTTGAAGGCCGCCCAGGTGGACGCAAGTGTTGTTAAAGGATTTATATTTTATCTCGATGATAAAGCTGCGAAGATTCCCGAGGTGAAGGATCCTTATTGGCATGGTGTTCCATTCGATAATTTCGAGTTCCCAATCTATGCCATCCCTGGGAGAGATGGCATACCCCTGTTGGACAAGATTGCCGAATATTCCGGGAATATGTCGGAGGTTTGGGAGGCCCAAAATCTAACGTCCTACTATGATCCAAAGGATTTTGCCAGGGTTTATATGGAGGTAGATACAGGTATGTGCACCTGAGGTAATGTATCGAAATGTGCTGTGCTTATGCTGTTTCACTATAGGCCATCGGAACCCGTTACCAGGACTCTGGTTGTTCCTACTGATAGTTCTCGGCGTGCTTCTTGGCATTGTGGGATTAACGTCTCTTAGCATGCATATGCTTCAATACCGACATCTGCAGGGACTTCGCCGTCGAGTTGCAAACGGACAGGTCGACCTCGAAGCATTAGGCATAAAGCGACTCTCTGTCCCACGACGAATTCTGGAAAAGTTCCCAATTCGAATATATGTTCCTGAACCAACATCTCCTACTATTCCCGCATCCACCTATTCCTTGCCGGTATCCCCTCGACCTACCCGATCTATTTCTAATCCTCCAAGAACTCCCCCACCCGTTAGATATTTTGCCCCTCCCGATCCACCTTTACCACCTTCACCTACGCCTGCGAGACGACGTCAAAGCCGGGACCGACGTAATGACCCTGTGCATGATACAACTCTCCAACGTGGTTATTCTCAATCACAATGCTCCATCTGCTTAGACGACTTTATTCCGTATTCCACAGCTGTCCGTGAATTACCTTGTCTTCATGTCTTCCATCCTGATTGCATCGACCCATTTCTCGAAACCCAATCTTCTCTATGCCCATTGTGCAAGGTTTCAGCGTTACCCAGAGGCTATGTCCCGCCTCAGCTGACCAATGCCACGGTGCGACGAGAGCGGAACCTTCGGCGGATGCGGGCTCGAGTGGATGCCGGTGGCGGCGTTTTGTCTTGGTGGGCCAGACTTAGGTTCCGCATAAGTTCAAGTAGGCATGAGGAGGAAGAGCGTGATCTCCGAAATACTGCGAGAATGGCGGTAGCGCGAAACAATCCGGTGACGGAAATAAGCGAATACAGTAGAGGATCAAGCCGATTGCCCGCGGATAGCCCGGGGGAGTCCCACGTGGATGACGAGGAAGTGGGGGAGAATAATCGTTCCAGGTGTATGTTTTCGACTCAACTTCGTGGCACTTAGTGATACTGACGTTCAGTAGGGAGAAAAGCTATGAAGACATTGTTTCCTGGCTTTGGGTAGCATACTGCTAGATTAGTATCGTATTTGAGTATTGGTCTCTCTTTCGGTTTAGGGGGTGTTATATTCTATCATTTGCATTCCTGTTACTATATCATTGGGTTACGAATGGGTCGCTCTTTGGTGCATGGGTTGTTTTTGAATGTCCCTGGGGTGGATTGAGTGCATGGGAATTCTGGCGTTCTTGTTTCCATTTTCCATTCTCTCCTCCCCACACGTCTGGCGGATGGGGTTGAAATTGCATGAGTTTGTCTGGCGGTCGATTGGGAATGGCGCTTATGTCGTTAGGCAATATACCACGATGGAATTCGTATCCAGGCCAAGGTAAGGCAGCACTTGTGCCTCCCCCCGCCCCCCATATTATGCCTCTCCCAATCCGAACCGGCAGTCACGACTTGGACCTCTCTTGACTCCCCACCAAAAAGACACCACCACCACCCCTCATTATCACATCCATAGACCGGGTACACAAGGCTACGGACCACGTTGTATAATATCCCCAAACTCAACTCCAACCCAACAAGAAACCCTATAATTTATTTTTTTGAACCCCGGTTCAATAAAGGGAAAAAAAAAAAGGGAAAGAAAATGTTCCGCAAAAAACGAGAGACCAACATAACAAGTCCACTACTGCTCATCGACAACGGTGGTCTGCATTCCCTTGGGGTTCTTGACATTCACAGCCTCAACGTACGAGAAGAGTCTGTGCTTCGCCCCTTCCTCGTCGTTACGCTTCCGTGAGATACGCACGCGCAGGCGGAAGGGAACTCCCTTGATTCCTCGCTTCCAGACCTCCTTGTTGAGTTGCGGGGCAAGGCGGACGTCCTCAGTGCCCTTTATAGATGTCACGTTAGTCGGGGGTTTAGCTGGTGGGGTGAGTGTGTGTGTGTGACCGGGTTTTCGGTACTGTTGAGGGAGGGAGGGGAGGTACCATAGATTGAGTAGCGAAAGCTTTAATCTCCTTGATCGCCTTGGGAGCGCGCTTCTTGAAGGAGACACCGTGGAGCTGTTATCGTTGAGAATTCGCTTGTCAGCTCCTCTCTATCTCATTCCTTCTCCACTCAGCCGGCAATGGGGGTATTTGATGGAAACATACACGCTTGTGCAAGTGAATGGTGTACTCCCTGGCAACGACATCGGCGAGGGCGCTGCGACCGGGCTTGGATTTTGGGGCTTTGGACATCTCTATCTTTTTCCTCCAGATTAGTCTTCTTCTTTTTCTTCCGAGTTTCGGGAACGTACGGTTTTTTTCGGAGTTTTTTTTTCTCAACTGGATCGCTGTCGATTGTTGGTCGTCGTCGTCCCGGTCGTTTGTAATTAATTATTATTGTTCCTTTCGCCGTGGGTGGGTAGGTAGCGAGCGCTGCGATAAGTGTTTGTGTGCTTGTGGTTGCGTGGGGTTGCTGGTTGGTGGGGGTTTATGTGACGGGTTTGGGCTTTGCCCTAGAATGTGTCATGTGGTGAGGGATCGTGGCTGCGGAGTGTGGCTCGTATCAGTATGATGGCCAAAGACTGACCTTGGCTGGCTTGGCATTGACAATGGATTGTGAATTGTGGCTATTGGAGGGGCTGTTTTCCCGACGGCGCGTCTAGTTACGATGAGTTTCTCAAACAATTGTGACCGGGGAACCGCGATGCCAGTGCATAATGACGGTTTGGGCCAGAGAAATCGAGTTCAGTGTTCATTCAAAGTACCAATAGTCTAAGCAGTTCACTCGATGGGCCTGCGTCGCACGGCTCCTTTCGAATCGGAGAATACCATAAGCTCTTATTCGAGTACAATACAGTTTAAGTCTACGCTGTCACGAATGGGTTGGTGAGGGGCGCTTCTCTGGAGGAGTTGTGGGAGGCATTGATAGACTTAGTCTACTCGAGTACGTTATTACAGAGTTCTTTCCAAGATTTGAGTGACTTCCCATGATGCTATTTACATGATGCTGATGATTAGTTTAAGTTAGACTACGGTAGGGCCTTTTTCATTGCTGTTTTCAAACCTTCAATTCGACTTCATCATTGCGACCCGATCAGCTTATTATGATACGTTCTGGCATCAATCGGGCGCACCACCCCAAGGCGAGGTAGATTTCTTTGACGCGAACCTCTCTGCTCGAGTGCAATCGGGACCAAAACTTACAAAACTGCTCGGGTCTAAATTACGGTATTTGTTAGAACTCCTCGCAGGTTCCCAGGGGGGGACACAAGTGCCCGAGGGGAACGTTTTGATACTATACTAGTACAGTACAAGGCAGGGATGATTTTGCAGGTTAACCTAGGTTAATCGTTCGCTAACCTTCTAGTGAGTACTCGAGTACTTGTATTTACTTGACTTTATCTTATCGCTGATTCGATTTCCTTATTCCTCCTTGAACGCTGTTTTTCCCGATCGCCAGATCCGAAGGTTGTGCTGGTTTTTTGCTTGCGGTGTGGTGGGACACAGGCAGGATTGGTTGAGTGATCGGCGGAATTAACTTGCTTCTGACGTCTGCTACGAGTATTATTTGTGCGGTAAATGGGTTGTTAACCGTTACTACCAAAGCGCTCACTCCCATTGGACAGACTAACTTCTGTGGCGAAAGCACCCACCCACGATCTTCCTTGTAGCTTACCACCATTGTAACTGTACTTATAGAGCCTGAACGTCATGGGTTCGTCAGTGATAACTTAACGATTACCACGATAGCCACACTTGAGAACTCCTGCTCGAGTAGTCGTAAAGACAATCCTACCTATTACTGTGCTAGATGCTGTATCATACGAGGATTGAATGCGGTACCGGTACTACTGGCCAGCTGCCAATTACTGCTAGAACAGACTACCTGCCACCCCACCCAGGAATATAAAGGAGAATACTTTTGCTACTATGGAAGCTCCTGTACCCCCTCCTTGCACGAAACCTTTCGCCCTCCTCAAGCACCTCTACAATCTCACCCGAGTACTACACTTTGTTACCATCATTTCCTCCTCCTAAAAATACCTTCTCACAATGACCGGCGTATTCCAAAGGCTGCAGGAGTCTCTGAATGAGGCGAAGATCGCAGCAGCCCACAAAGTCAACGAGGTGGCCTCGACGAACGAGAAGATCGTAGAGATGTGGCCGAATAAGGTCTCTGTCGAAAAGAGCGGGAACAGACTTACTACGGATTCCGGTACGGGTGTGTATGATGTGGACCATTGGCTCAAGGTGGTTGACCCGAGCACTGGCCATCACGGGCCGAGTTTGTTGGAGGACCAGATTGCGAGGGAGAGGATCCACCGGTGTACGCACATACTCTTCTCCTCACCGCTCCCATCCTGCCTTGTCCTGACTACGAGAACCCGAAGACTGTTGTGGTAATAATGATTGAGGCTAACAAGTGTTGCGAATTAATACAGTCGACCATGAGCGCATTCCTGAGCGTGTAGTCCACGCCCGCGGAGCCGGGGCACACGGATACTTTAACCTGCACACGCCAATCCCAGAGTTCTCCAGCGCTACAGTCCTCAACGATACAGGGCGCAGCACTCCTATATTCGCCCGCATGTCAACGGTAGCCGGGTCCCGTGGTTCTGCAGATACGGTCCGCGACGTCCGCGGCTTTGCCCTAAAGTTCTATACCGAGGAGGGCAACTGGGATATCGTTGGGAACAACATCCCCGTCTTCTTTATCCAGGATGCCATCAAGTTCCCAGACTTTGTTCACGCCGTTAAACCCGAGCCGCATAATGAGGTGCCGCAGGCGCAGACTGCTCACAACAACTTTTGGGACTTTATGTACATGCATAGCGAGTCAACACATATGTCCATTTGGGCCATGAGTGATAGGGGGATCCCTAGGAGTTATAGGATGATGCAGGGGTTTGGGGTTAATAGTGGGTTTTGATTCTCCCCCCTTCTTTCGACGGGGACATGTCTGACTTGGGGATAGCGTTTTCATTGATCAATGCTCAGGGTGAGAGAACGTTTGTCAAGTTTGTGTGGACGCCTGAGTTGGGTGTTCATTCACTGGTCTGGGATGAGGCTTTGAAGCTGGCTGGCCAGGATCCAGATTTCCACAGGAAGGACCTGTACGAGGCCATCGAGAACGGATACTATCCTAAGTGGCAATTCGGAATTCAAACTATCGCTGAGAAGGATCAGGATAAGTTTGAGTTCGATATCCTGGACGCTACAAAGGTGTGGCCGGAGGATCTAGTTCCTATCAACTATATCGGAGAGCTAGTTCTAAACAGGTGCCGCTTCCCTCCACTGATCTATCACTCGGACATCTGCTAACAATGTGACAGAAATGTCGACGAGTTTTTCGCCGAAACCGAACAGGCAGCCTTCTGCACCTCTCACGTCGTGCCCGGGATCGGCTTTTCGGATGACCCTCTCTTGCAAGGGAGAAACTTCAGTTACTTCGATACGCAAATCACCCGCTTGGGAATCAACTGGGAACAACTCCCTATCAACCGCCCCGTCTGTCCCATCATGAACTTCAACCGCGACGGAGCACTTAACCACCGCATCCACAAGGGCAAAGTCAACTACTGGCCAAACCGCTTCGAAGCCGTCCCCCCCGCGTCGCACAAGCAGGAGACAGACTCGTACCAGGAGTGCGCTGCCAAGGTCGCGGGATTGAAACTCAGGGTAAATGGAGCGAAGTTCCGTGAGCACTTTGCTCAGGCACAATTGTTTTATAATTCTCTCGCGAAGCACGAGAAGAAACATGTTGAAGCTGCGCTTGCATTTGAGCTGAGCCATTGCGACGAGCCAATCGTGTACAAGAGGATGTCGGAGAGACTTGCTGTATTACCCACCCTTCCAATCGCCCCTCCGTCTATCTCTCCATTCTATCGCTTCTCCAAGAGCTAGCTAACCATCTCACTCAAAAATAGGATATCGACCTCACCCTCGCCCAAAACGTCGCCAAGATGGTCGGCGGTGACATCCCGAAGGAGGGCCGCCTGAACCACGGTCGCAAAGCTCCGGGTCTATCACAGGCCGATTTACCCGCTGTCAAGCCAAGCATCAAAAGCCGTCGGGTGGCAATGATCGTTGCGGACGGCTTCGAAATGGGTGTTTTCACCGCGGTACGCGCAGCGCTTAAGGCGGAGGGCGCAACGACCTGGGTGATTGCTCCTAGAAGAGGAATGATCTTCCCTGCCGGTGTCCACCCAGAAAGCGGCACGGGCGGCCTCCTGGCAGACCACCACCTCGAGGGACAGAGGAGTACCATGTTTGACGCGATATTTGTGTGTCCCGGCACACGGAGCACGCTCACTCTCCGAGAGGTAAATATTCACCTTCCTTTCTTTCTCTGCCTTCTTTCACTCGGGGGTAGACACTAGCTAACGTGCCAACAAGAACGGAAGAGCAGTCCACTGGGTCCGCGAGGCCTTCGGCCACTTGAAGCCCATCGGCGTCCTCGGTGATGCGGTGTCCTTCCTGCAACAAGCCGTTGTCCTCCCCGGCGTAGACGTAGCGGCCGACCCCAACTCTCACGATGTTGTTACCTCCTACGGCGTCGTAACGGGCTGGAGGTGTTCCGTGGGCGTACTCCGGAGCCTCAAGATCGAGCCCAGCACCTGCGCGTTTTCGAGCGCTTTCGCGTACGAGATTTCGAAGCATAGATGCTGGGCCAGGGAGTTGGATGGGCTCCACACAAAGCTTGCGTTTTAAGGAAACGAAAGGAAATTGGGGGTGTTTTTTTTCTCCTTTGAAATGTATCTGTTTTTTTTTTTTACCGTTTTCGTTTCTCTTTGACGGTGAGCCGATGAATTGGCGAGAGCTTGAATTGTACCGTACCGTATGGCGCACAGTGCCATTTGTGCAGGAGGGCAATTTAAGAATCCATGACCAGATTAGAGAGTGTGATAGAGTAATGCTATTAGTGGCATGGTAAGGTTAAGGTACAAGTACACCTGATAGCATAGTATGATGTCATAGGAACACCTGGAAACCGAGAAGACTGTTTTCTAAGTTGGATGTTGTTCTAATTGTGTCTCTGTGTGTGTGCACTACCTCTTAGTATCCACCGGTCATTGTATATACCGGTATAGAGCCCATATCTTCTCTCTCATAGATTAACGTACCCCACGGTGAGCCGAAACACACGTTGACACGAAACAAGTAGTTGCCGATCAACTAGTTAAGAGCCAAAAACGTGTTTTCTGAATAAGTTACCACAACAGAGTAGTGCCATACCTAAGGAAGTTTGCATCATGTAGACGTTTGTGTAAATTAAAGCTTTAGGTGGAAGGAATCAATTGCTTCTACAAATATCTTTGTCAAAATGTCTCCAACCAACCATCTTTCAACAAAACAGCATATTGAACTCACACTCGGCACCCTGAATCAAGCTCGTGAGCATGGGAGTCATGTCCTCACCTACCAAGAGCTTGTACTCGATTATGAAGTCCTAAGAACTACGCTTTGGCATTGTGACCATGGCTGAGTTCCTACCAACAAGGACAATAAGCAAAAGCAATATTTAAATGGGGGAGAGGAGAAGGCACTAGTTAATTGGTATATGACTTTAATACTTGAATGAGTTTAATGTTATCTAAGGAACTAATTTGGAATCAGGTGCTTGGTGATGCAGAATTATTGTTTTCCTCCTCGTATCGCACTTCTCAAGGAGATGGCTATGTACTTATATAGCAAAAGAAATCCTGAAAATACTAGACCTGTCAGATACAACTGGCATCTTTCATTCTTAGATCATCATCTAGAGTTAGGGATTAGGTATAGCAGGCAGATTGAGCATGTTAGAGTTGAGGCACAGCAGGACTATTTTGTATTTGTAAACTTCTTTGAACGAGTATGTACTATATCTATTTACTAAATTTACATATATAATAGCTAATTTAGTAAGTTGAATGCTGAAATCATCAAGTACAATATCATTCCAGAAAATCTTGACAATTTAGGTGAAATTGGCTACCTGATTGGATTTAACCAATCATGCTGAGTAATCTATGGTAAGGATTTACAATAGTGAAGTGGAGCACTCCGTGCTTTTGATGGAGGAAGAGAAATGGTTACTGTGATTGAAACCATTTGTGCAGATGGATCTCAATTGTTATCTATGATGATTTTCAAAGAGGATAGTGTTCAAGAGGGCTGAATGGAAAACCTACATCTTTGTATACCAGATGAGGTCTTGGTAGGATATTCTGAGAATGGATGGACCGATGCAAAAAAGTGTCTATGATATCTCGTGCACTTCTTTGGACTAAATAGTTCATCAGTAGCTAGCAGAACCCGCTTTCGAATGCTTTTATTTGACGGCCATTCCTTTCACATTACTTGAAAGTGTCTTCTCTATTGCCTACAGTACTATGTTATTCCTTTTTGCCTACTAGCTCAAACTATACACAAATTACAGCCACTTGATGTTGCTGTATTTAGTCCACTAAAGCGAAAGTAAACAGAGGCAGTATGGGAAAGGTTTCAATGGGGAAATCATATAGTAAAGAAGGGGAACTTTTGAGATGTCTTGCAGCAGGCATGAATAGATGGTCTAACTGAAAAAAATATCCTAAGTGGATTTGAAGCAACTGGTATTTATCCCTTAAATGTACTAAAGCTTTTACAAACCCTCTCCGGCTATGATTCCTATCAGCAAAATTCAGAAAACCCTACCACCATTTCACCTTTATTTGAACCTAGAACACCTAAAACTGAGTCAGAGATCACTCAACTGGAAAGCTTTACTCAAAGCAGAATTTCTCGAAACACCCCACGCTCTCAAGATGCCTGTGCTGCTATCTGCTCCCTTGTCCACTTGGCCTCATTTTACTGTTCTACTTTAAATCTACAAGATAAAGCTGAACAGAAAAAGCAACAGTACATCATAGAGGAAGGTCTTAATTCTGGTAGAAAGGGCAGGAAAAGAATTAAGGTAGATAACTCTGATATTTCTGCTAATGATATATGAAGAAGTTAATTTATACCAATTACAATGGAAAAGAAAAGCAAGCAAAAACTAGTTTAGATTATTATACATACTTGTATACTAGTACATCTACTAAGCTTACAGAAATAGCTAGTAAACTAAAGCAGCAGTAGGAAAGGGGAAAAAAATGGGCATAAGAGTAAGAGGTACAAATCTGTGGTTCAATTGGAAATTGAAGAAAAAGGATTAGAGGAAAAGCTTGAAAAATACAAATGGTTAATGAAAGAAAAGGAACTAGAGTACCAGAAGTTGGGAACAGAAAAGAAAAATGCTCTAGTTACGGTGAAGAATTTTGATTTTAAAGATGGTGAAGGTGAGGAGAAAAGGCTGGAGGAGGAACCCCTTAGTGTTGAGGTTGAGGATGATGAGAATACCTGTTCATAATTGATGTTGAGCAATACTCAATTGAGTTGTTTCATGTCACCATGTGTTTTGGCTCACCATGGGGTATGTTATTTAATGAACATATTTCTTTCTCCTACAATGCTTCCCCAACATACAATTTTGATGATGGAGTAATTTCATTGAGGACATCGTTAGGACTAGAATCCCAATGGGACTAGTTTATCGTGGTATTTAAGTGGGCATTGTCCTGATATCTGTATGAACAATACCGTTTAAAATAGTATGTATCTAGTTTGCTTATGATTCTCGGCTATATAAAGTCGGCCATATCCCCCAAGCTATGATACTGGTAAGGTCCTGTTCGGAATGGCAAAAATACTGTACGAGTAGTATGATATTTCCACTTTCATGCAGTATTTTTTTTTTTTTTTTTGTTGGCTGGTGTTTGACATACGGTATCACAGATGTTGTATTATTATTATTATGCAAGAACGAATAAGTGTTAACCTGATTTAGGAAGGCTTTCAAAAAAAAAAAAAAAAAACACAACTTATCTGATACTGGTTCAATACTACTATTTTTTCGGCAAAGTATGATAATAGGCTCAGCATTGCTGATATTAGAATAACTTTTAATTATATGATAGCAGATATTGTATTGTCTGAGGAAGTACAGTACCGTATGTGCTATGATGACTGGAAAGGAATAATATGACGGCATCTGTAATTGGTCCAGCGGTGTTTGGATCGGCAAGGGCTAGAGTAAATTATTCCAAGCAGTGCCCATTCTTGGCGCGGAGACATGAGAATCAAATACATATCCATAGTCTACGGTAGTGACAAATACTATCACAGCCCCTCCTCTCACACAGCCACACGACAACGCAACGCGACCATCACCGCGCCACACCCCCACCCATCCCGTGAGGGACAACTTTATAAGCCGACCGCACCATCCTTCCGTCCGTCCATCCGTCCATCCATCCCATTCACTCACCGATCCATCACAACCCTCAAAGCAGAACAAACAAGCAAACAAACAATCGAATCGAGACAAAGTCAAAAACAACCAATGCCCCTCACATACAGCAAGCACTTCGGCGGCCGACGCTTCGGGCTCGGGGTCTCGGCGAATAAACATGGCGTCAGGCCCCATGTCAGGTTCTCGCTGTGCGGGTTGAGCTGTTTTCGTTGAGCCCAGTTGTGGGTATGGCGCTCGGAACTTTTGTTGGGGCGAGGGTACGATACGATACGGTGTTGGGAGGTCCGGGGGCTCGATTGGGTGGTGATAGGCGAGGGGAGACGGGGGGGGGGGTAATTTTAACGAACTTCTTACGATGCGGTTGCGATTCGGTTGCTTGCTTGGGGTAGATTTCATGTTTCTTCTTGCTGGGATGTTGGGCGCTGGTGAAATTGTGGTCGGAGGAGGTCGGGTGGTTTTTGCTCTCATTTTGTTGCTTCATGTTCCTGCGCTAGTGTTTACGCTACCCTACCGTGCGCGATAATACCATTCACATCGTTTCACTCCACTTCGGTGCAAGTTACAGTAATTCGACCAATTTTTTCTTATTAAGTTTGGGTAATCATTCTTAGGGGGGTGCGCGATGTGGAAAGAAAACAGAAAAAGCGAAAAAAACCCAATCATCTCAGAACAGGGCTCCCGCAGCTAAAGATTTGAGAAACGCAGAGCAAGCCAAAAATGGGGGGAGAGGGGACAGAAAAAAGAAAGGGACCACGATAGGATTAACTAAGTACTAGTCGCTCCCCCTGGTAGTTTCTTCTCATCTAACTCCTTCGTATGCTTCTCGTCCTCCACGTCCGCCATGCGGCCTTGAATCGGTGGTCTCCTCTGCCCGGTGATGTCCAGCCAGATGCTCTTAGTGGTATGCGCCATCGCATGCCTTCCCTCCCAGAGCGGATACACCCCCACGCATAGCATAGAGAAGAACAGCCAAATAATGCCAACAGAAACCCAGCCAGTGAAGAACTTCTTCGAGAATATGTAGCTAGTGCCGTAAAGCGGGAAGGGCCAGAGGACCAGCAATATCAGCGTCATCACGACGGTCGTGATTCTGGCTATCTTGGCCGCTTTCTCGAGCTTCTTCTGCTCCACCTCTTCGGTCTCGCTGCCGTTCGAGCCCGCGCGCTCACCGGGGATTAGCTCTAGGTCGATATGCGCTTCGGCTGCGATGTCGTGGTCGTCGCCTTTGCGGATTGCTCGCATGGATTCGTAGTCATAGTTGTCAATGCCAAAGATCAGGGTTAGGATTGGGATGAAAATTAGTGGGGAGAGGAGGGCCACGACGTTGCCGGCTAACATGGGGTCGCTATTGAGCAATTGTCAGAATTTGTTACGAAGCATAGTTCAAGCAGGAGGGGGGGTAAATACTTGCTCCCCGACGAACTGACGGTGATTTCACCAAACTGCTTCTTCGTGGTGACCAGCCAAGCGACAAGGCTACAGGCCAATCCGAGGATTGGCGAAAGCATGGCGGCCCATTTGTTCTGGCCTTTCCAGAGAAGAGTTAGGGATGCTGGTAGGACCGCACTAGAGACGATTACTCCCATGAGGAGGTATAGGTAGCCCATCGAGACCCCGGCATAGTAGAGTCCGGTGCTGAACGCCGCCATGAGGACGCCGAATACGACAACCATGGTGTGGGACATAATGATGAGCTTCTTGCCAGTTGCCGACGGGTTGAAATACGTCTACTCCACAATTCATTAGCATCATTATCGTAGCAAGCATGGGGAGAAGAGGAAAAACATATCGGAGCACAAACCTGATACAAATCGTAAGTAAAGATACTCGAGACAGCGATCAACTCTGCAGAGCTGGCACTAGTAACAGCCATGAAGATCAAAAGTAGCGTGCAAGCAGCACCACCCTGTCCCAGCATTGCGACTGCGGCATTGGGCAGGACCAATCCAGCTTTGACATCTGCGTCGGGCATACGATCGGGGAATGTGGGGAACGAAGGGTGATTCTCGAGAGCAAGACAAGCAAGCCCCATGGTAGTCGCGGCAAGCCATGGAATGGCGAACCAGGAAAGGCCACCGAGGACATATCCTGGAAGAGCAGAAACTGGAGAGGCTGCAATGGCCTTGTTGTAGTACCCGTTGTCGAGAAAAACGGTGCCGAAGTTGCCGACGATGTTGATGATGAAGAAGATCGCGCCCTCCTTGGAGCGCATAGTGAGGTAGCTACCTCCAGCATTGCCTGCGACGGGATGCCTGGCGGAGGCCTCAACGAGTAAGTCGTAAACCTTGCTGGGAGAGCCCAGAATGTCCGAAGTGGCATATGTTGTGAAGGCGAAAATGAGGATGACTACAAGAATTACCACGGTGTGGATATAGTCTGTCAAGAAGGTCGCCCTGTGATAACGTTAGAGTTCGAGTGCTTGTTAATGGGGACGACGAACGGGCGCTCACTTGATGCCGCCAAAGAGAGTGTATAGGACGACACCAACGGGCAAGAGAAAGCACGCAGCGGCCGTAGGCATCCCCGTCAAGGAATTGACCACGGCACTTCCTCCCGTTAACAACATGGCCGTGACCCTATGCTCCCGATTGTCTGTTAGACCTGTTTCACCGCCCCCCTCTCACTTTTGAACGCCCTTCCGAGGGACCAAGGGCACTCACAAGATGTTGGTAAAAAGTCCAAAAACCATATACGTAACATGCGTCGCGGCGCCATATCTAGCTCTAATAACCTCCAAGAAAGTGTGTGCATTGGGAGCCTTCCTCTTCAACTCAATTGCGAGGGTAGCGAACAGCAAGATCTGAACCGTTGCACCAGAGGCATACCAGAAAGGACCAGAGACACCATATTGGTAAGCAATGCCGGAGCTCTGCAGAAGGGTAGCCGCCCAAGTCCATGAAGATACGACGGCCGAGGCTACAAGACCAGTCCTGACTGTACGGCCAGCAGTACTGAACATTTCGGATGTTTGGACCTCATTTTGATACCTGAACAACCAGTCAACAACTATTGAAGGGGAAAAAAAGAAAGAGAGCCCAGGTATAGGTGTGAAGGATGCAGGTATATCAGACCTCTTGAGAGCCCAAGTAGTCCCAATCATCCCCAACGCAAAAGCAAACCCCAACCCTAGGACGATTCCATACCCAAATCCTTGGGACAAAGGTGGAGATGACATTGTAGACGCGTTTTTTATCCTTCTTCCTCCTCCTCGGTTTAACCGGGCTTAGAGTTCGCAAACAAAGTGTCGAGGGAGAGGCCGAGTGGAAATGGGCTCTGGACGGATATATAATATTTCCGAATTCTGATCTTAAAATCTACGAACAACCCGGGAACTTTTTAAGGTAACGATCTATCCACCCTGCTGTGTGTGCTCCCCCCGCCCCCTTCCATGGCACCTCACAATATAGGCCTAGATTGGCGGGGAAAACTGCTCTTCTGGGGGTGGGATTCATTAGAAGAGGGAGCAATACAGGAGAACAGATAAGGAATATGTGAATTAGCGTTAAAACAGCAGGTGACACAGCGGGGGAATTTTTCCAAAAAGGTTTTCCGGCCCGCAAAATTTGACTCCACCGCTCTCCCTTATCTACAGGTATCGCTCGCTCACTAGACTTGTTCCATACGGTATCCAGGTTGCGACTAATTCTGGTTTGCAAACTATGTCTCGCGTGAATTTCCTGACGATAAGATCTATGGCTGGGGATGGCTTGAGCTGACAGCGCCAAGCTGGTACAATGTCTGGGAACGGGTAATTAGTAAAATCCATAACATCTCAGAAAACTCCCAAGTGCCTTTTGGAAAGCTACTGACAGAAATAATAGGCCCGAGCAAGCGAGATGAAAAGAGGACCGGTGAATGGCCCCCTCCGCCGAACGAACAATGTCTTCTCGGCGTCCTGCGATGGAATTGCGGGAAATGATCGAGTAAAGACACCTTCGGCCTTATCTCGCGCCTGCGGGCGGAAAGTTAACGAAAAAGAGGGGGATCGGTCACAAACCGCCTGCTTACTGCAGGGTAGGAATGATACAGTTCACGCGAGAATCGGATCAACGGTACAATCATAGCGTGTCAGAACCTGGAACCCAGAATTCAGTCTCGATCCATACGAGTATACTGTACCCGTACCGTATTTCAACACGGGAATTAGAACGTGGTAACCAGTGGGGAGAACATTCTGATAAAAGCTTACCAGAAGCTTAAACCTAATAAAATGGTTTGGTTAAATTCAAATGTACGGTACTCCACTACCGGTACCATTACCCCACGAAAGAAGAAAGCAGCTTAAACCACCAAAGAAATTACTTGATAGGTTTTATAATCCCCACCATCGCGTGCCCGTATCCCCAATCCAACAAAGGTGAGAAAAGGAGGGGGTGGGAAAAAGCAAATAAAGTTTACCCCAACAACTCAACTGCAGCAAATCCAAGATAGAGCCAACTACAAGCCGGCACCCCACCGCGTTCATTTGAGCCCCCAAGCAATACAAGCATGAAGTAAGGGAAGAAGGGGAAAAAAAAAGAAAAAGAAAAAGAAAAAGAAAAAAACTATCCCCAGAAAATGGTTGCTCGGAACTCTTTCGCCTAGAATCCACGTATCGATCACCATGTGCCCGGCTCCCTGTGCTGGTCTCTATGGCCTCGTTTACTTATGTTGCGGCTGGGGCGGAGCCGCTGGTGCACCCTGCGATTGCATGCCAATGAGTTGCTCCTTACTCCTGTTCTCCCTATCAGTATAAATTTGACTTCCCACATCCTGGAACAAAAAAACAAGAGCGAGGGGACAAACGTCGATTGGTGATATTGGCAGATAGTGCATCTCAATTCCTATATAATACCAGTCATCAGCCTTTGCCTGGACAGTCATCCGCCGTCACAGGCTGGGGGAAACCGACCTCTCCCCAGCTAAGGGGGATAATAGGAATGAAGCAGAAGGTAAAGAAGTTCCTACGCTTAATCGCGACAACTATACTCGGGTAATAGATATTATATTAGTATTCAACATCCCAAGCATTCCGCTTGCCGCGAGATAGATCTAGGGGCAAAACAAACCCGAGGAATTGTGACACCTCTGCAGGGAAAATTAGCATTTCACAAAATAGCCTTACATTTTTCGAGCGAGTAGGCGTACCGGACAGACAACGCGAATATGTTCAAATCCCTTGAGAGCTCCGGAGAAGTCTTGGGTTCCACAGGTAAAGAAGAAGAACATGGTTGCGGTCCTGGTACTGGTGTTTGAATGGAGTTGGAATGAGTGCGCTCGAGGGTGATGTTTGTTCTATGAGATGGGGTTGTGTGGTGATTCTAATATGATGGTTTGCTCCTGTCATAAGTTCGGACCACTCTTCTTGTCGTAGTGGCGGAGCGACTCCAAGCCAGCTACCGCGCAATTCGCCCAGCCTTCCTATCATATCTTGGCTTGTCCTGCATAATTATTTTTAGATAAATGTGGCGTTGTACGGACTTTCTGTGGCATCTGTGGCGCTCTTCCCACCTCAAAACCAAACCATCACCAATCTCCTCCACCACTGCCTGAACAAATCCGGAAAAAGGACTTCTTTTTTGAAGGTAAGCAATTCCTCCCACCTCCCCACTCATCAAGTTAATTTCTGATGAAAGGTCTTTAAAAAGCAAACCATCACACATCTTCTTTGCCACTCTGAGAACAAACCTACAAAAGGGACATTTTTTTGAGGGCAAATATTTCTCTCGTTTCCCTCTCACCTACAGTGGTTAACAGCTAATGAAACACGGGCCTTTGAAAAGAAAACCGTCACTCCCCCGCTCCACTAATGCCAAAGCGGGCCCGCGGGAGAGAATTGCAGTATCTTTTACAGGAAAACAATCCTCTCCCTTCGCTCTCACCAAATTCGCCGCTAATAAAACATAAGATTCATCAGGGCCGTCTATCACGAAAGGTTAACATTCCACTTCTGGTTTCTTGTGTTCTCTATTGCCCTATCTCAACGCACTATCTCGTACTCGTCCTAGGCAAGAAGCATCCGTAAACAGGAGTTGGCGAAATATATGGCGAAAAGTCCGTGTGTATATGGGCGCTCAAACAAATTCCTGACTCGTATTTTCGAATCCTTCTTCCCTGGGACGAATATATCCGTCTTTGTCCCCCGGATCGATGGATTTCTTATTTGGTACCCAGTACGGTCGCACCCGCTACGAAAGAACTCTTTATACCGGAAACCTCGCTATTGCGAACAAACGAAAAATCCGGAACGCTTGGCGTTCCTCATCCCGGTGTGTGCACTGTATCTATACTAGTACCAGTATAGCCCCTCTACCAGGTTAAGTCGCACCTCGTCATACTTGTAACGAACGCCAAGAGTTTCGGCTTTTTCGTTCATTATAGCGAGGTGCGACTGTAGTATATCATTCTGACTTGCCCAACTCTCCTGCCCTGATACAAACTGATACCTCTGTGATTAGAAACAAAACCCTTACTTGGACACTGCATTGGATATTCTATTGTTGCCTCCAATCGTCAACCCAAATCCGCAACATAATATGGGCGTAGTCCCAGGTCCGCCCGCCATTGCTGAAGTTGACCTTGATATCGACGACAAATACACCATTTATCAGACACTTACTGTACGAGAATACCGTGTGAACATGCATTCAAGTTCACATGCTTGAAATTATCGGGGAAATGCAAGCGGTATTGTCGGATCTTCCCTGTCCTTATATTGCATTTCTTAAAACACTGGTTACTGCTCTGCCGAGTTTCAACACTTTCCAAAAGTCGAGCGTGAAGAAGAGATATTGTGAATCTCTGGGGATTTTAGTTACCCGGTTTTCATCCGGACAACACTAAAATTTAATAGTTTTATAAAACCTCTTCGGCCTTTATAAGGTAGCTATTACGAACGTGGATAAGGAGTTGCGAGCAGTCGGCGTAACAACATACAAACCTAGCTATACAATGTATATCAACTCTTGTATAATACGGAAGGAGGAAACAGTCTTCTGCCCTTTGCAAGGAGATTTCCGCCAAACGATTAGTCTACCCTCACGATCGAGTGTGCAGTTTCTGAATGTTTCGGTCACCTTCGTTTTGCTGCTAGCTGGTGGCTTAGACAGAACAACTCTGCAACAGGGTCAGGCACCGTTCGAGCCCTCGGAATGTGTTAATAAACTTCCGATTGATTGTTCGGTTACTCCTGCGATCCTAACTGGCCCCGTTCCCTTTTTCATCATGACCTTCGAAGACCTTTTGTTGCGGCCCAGAACTGGTAACGGAAGCGATTTATGGTTTACTGCTGATGATATTCAGTTCATCGCAGTTGCCTTTCGGGCAAGCTTATGATTATTGGTTTTTCATTATTACTCCCTCGTTTCCTGACTTGTTCATTTACTTAGGGCCTGCTTGGATACAACCATTCCGTTCCACTATCGTACCCCACACAAAGCAACGGTTTCAAAACGGAAGGGCGAGCATCTTTTGTATGGGGAACGGTCGCGGGACGGAACGGGGTACGGGAAATCACGAGACGTTTGCGCTTTTTGATAAATCCTCACCGAATGGAAATCGGTCCTGTGCTTGATTACCCTATTTTTAATAGCAATCTATTACAGTATGCTACCGCGCCCAAAGTCTCAGCTCCACGTGATCACCATCCCCCGGCTGCCTTCTTGCCAGTATTAGTTCCTCTTTCTAGGCTGTAAATGTCCCTAAATTTCAGTATTTGTTAGTGTAAAATTATTATTTCCTATGATACATTATTTCCCCACAGAGGAGACGGCACTTAAGTATCTGACAGGTTTTCGGGGGATAGGTTGCCCGGGGGAGGGCATAAAAGAAAACCTATCATGGCAGTTAACTTTTCTGTCCCTACCATGGACTGTTACTGTGAAAAACTCCCCATCTCAATCAGCATGATAGGGGGGTTGAATGGGCGTGTGTATTTTCAGAATTGAAACAAATATTAATCCATAAACCGGAGGAGATATATTGTTCCGTGTACCTGAGTTGGAAATAAGGTAAGTATCATGAGTTATCACTCACCTTCTTTTTTGGCACCCCCTCTTCTGCCAAGCCTATTGATTCCCTAATTTCCATCCTCCTGTTACTTCCACGAGATCCGGTCTCCCAAAGGGCCAGCGATAACGGAGGTTTATGATAAATTGTGCTGCAATGCTCGCAGGGCCGAGTTGAAACCGGATGGATGGATGGATGCCCGAGGGCGGAAATTTCTATATCAGACAAAGTGCTCAGATTCAACTCGTCTGCGTAAATTAAGTGCCAGTACGGTACCATACTCGTACAGTAGCACCGGTATTGGGGATCAGCAATGTGACCCAGCGTATGCTGTGAGTCGGTCGCTCAGACAGGAAGTACCGGTGCAATGACAAATAGCGTAATGTTGACATGACATGACTAAAAATCACATAAAATATCATTTCTTCCACAAGAGGTGATTGGTTTTCAAAAAACCAAGAGAAGAAAAAAGAAATAGTAGACGTTCACACAAGGTTGTACGGTATCATAATTACTCGTACTGGAGTAGATAAAAACTCCACAGCCCATCATCCTTTCTCAAGCCAGAAAAGCCAAGCCAGGAATTGGCACCAACGGGGCAAAGGAGAAAAAAAAGGCCCGTCCAAATAAGTATGATAATATTATGATATGATACTTGGAACAGCAGCCGTGCGGCCACACCATCTGTGCAGCCCAACCAACCGCCCAATAATATGGTGATAACCCAACCGCAACAAGCCACAAACATCTGCCCGAACTCCGTTAGGGGACCAACTCAATTCGAAACAACAACCCTGGTCTTGCGCTACGAAATCAATTCCTTGAAGAACCAGTGCCCAAGGATCAGTTGGTTGCTTTCTGTTATAGGAGTGTTTGGACTTTCCCCACACGGAATCACACGGTTGGATGAAAATTGTTTATGATAATATAGGTTGTGAGGTGAGGAAGTAAGAGCAAAAGACTTGGCTTGCGGCGGTACTGTACTTACGAGTACCGTACTCCTACAGTACTCGAGTAGATGGTGTGTGGATGTGGATCTTGAGCTATCGTTGGAACTGGGGGTTGGTCGAGAGGGTACAACTACTCGAGTACGGTAGTCTGGTGGGCGAGGGGGAGGTCGAGTATCATGCCGGCGCTGTACGAGTACCTGTGCGGTATCTGCCTGTCGTGTTATCCCTGAGTATGATGCAGGTGACGACCGGAGCCCTGCTCGGAGATCTGGAGGAAAATCACCATCTAAACCACAATAGGCTTAGCAGACGCAGGTTAATGAGATCCAGCAAACCTAGCCTCCCTAAGCTATACCGGTACTCTGTCCGGAAAACAACATTCGGAGAGATCCGAGGGGGGGCTGATGGGGAGATGAGTGGAGTTACCGAGGGCTAAAAGGACCGCATGGCACCCACCGCCAGTCTTTCCGAAGGACGGACGGCCCCGCACAACCGCATGTGACACCCCTGGCCGGAGCGCCGGGGACCACAGTCCTGTACGAGTACGAGTAACAGTTACGAGCGCAGTTACCGGTAACTCCCGGCCACGCTTGGGATCATTAAAATTGCATAACCAGATCCACCATGACCAATACCATCAGACCGGCCTTGGTACTCCCCAGTTATTAGGAGCCGGTCCCCCCCCCACGTTATCCATCCGACCGCTTGATACTTGTTGTATTTTTACTTATCGAGACAGCAAGTGTGGATGGTCCCCGCACCCCCGGGCGCGCCGGCGGCCTCCGCCAGAGCTAAAAGTCTCTTGTGCAGGCTCCGGGACATTGGTGGTGGAATGGGCCGGCTACCGGCAATTAGAGGGGTTAGCAGGTACTCGAGTAGTTTGTAACCTCGGGCAATACTTGTAGATGTGAGCGGGAAAGCGCATCTCCTCGATACTGTAGAAGAAATTTTTATGTTATGATATCAGCTCCCCCCCTCCTAATTCAAGAAATCAAGACTTCCTGCCGCGAGCATTATCGACACCCGTTCCCTGGCTTCCCCCAGGACCGATCCCCCTTCAGGAAATGGTCGGTATCGCATGGATAGAAGAAGTCATCTGAATCGAAGACTCAACTTTCCGCTCTTTATCTGCCCTCCTAGATTTACCATCATTCAGAGCAAAGGCCCTCCTCCCATGCCCTCCAAATCCACAGGACATGGGGGGAAAGCAACAAAAGAGCCCACGCATATATGATAGCGCAAAAGAGTGGCCAACCCTACGGAAAATTCACCCCCTACAACGCCCGCTACGTGTGCGCCGGGTTAAGCCCAACACCAAGGCTGCTACGATACCGTAAATACCACTTAGCCCTGTTTTCAACAATTAAACGAGGTGGATCACTCGACGTGGTGGAGTATTTAGCGAACAACACCTGCAGTTGGACGCACCCGGCATGCCTGCGTGTGAAATATCACAGATCCTCCCGGACAAATGGCGAGCGTGGATCCACCGGGTCTCGGATGTTTCCAGGAGGTCGCAAGTCTGCGCGAATTCTTCTGCCCAGGAAATCAGATTCCATCCCTAGACACCTCCCACTAAAATGCTGAGGAAACCGGCAATGGTCGCATCCAAGACGGAACTTCCACGAACTCGATAACCCAACGAAGCCAGGGAAGCCCTGACGGGGATCCTCCCCGCAGCTTTTAGAGCGCTAGTGCCGCCGTGGTGCGTACTAGGGTATCGTCGTGCGGCGTGGCCTCGTGAGTGGATCTGCGACGGTACCTTTTTAGTGGATGGCTATATACGCCGCGGCAGGTATCATAGCTAGCCTGACATTAACAAGCCCGTAGCTCCAACATCAGAAAGTTTGACAGAAATCTGCAGTACTGGAAGGTGCGGTACAGCGCCTGAACTGGGGGGGGGGGTTTGCCAGATCGGTGCGTGTTGTGGTGTGTAGTGTACGGTACAATGGGAATCTCAACCCAGGACTATCAAGGCCAGCGTTAGATAAAATAATACTCGAGTAGCTCTGGCGCACCCTTAAATCCTCCACCACCGGGGGCCGGGGGAGGGGGGTGTGGCGCGTTTGTGTCATCGAGGGGGTTGTGCGCAACGGGAATACAGTATTTTTCCAAAATCTAAATATCTCTCCTCTCCCCTACCAGTGACCACTCAGAATGTACTCGTAAATGAACAACCAACCCCATAACTCGCAAAAGTGTGGTCCTGGACAATCAATGTGATAATCACCAACACGCCGTATCCCAACGAATGAACACCTTCCAGTGGCTTCACGAATCAGCCCGCATCGCCGGGATAGTGCCCCAACTGATAACCCAACTACAAAATACAGTATACAGCGCCCCAACAACTTGTCCTAAACTTTCGCGAATAAAGCATCCAAAATCTAGGTGATCACCAATAATCACTGCGAAACCACTCACTCCCCCGCCCCCCCCCGACCAACAACACCTTGCTTACCCTACTTTTCGTATAAATAACCCCGCAAGCACCTACCCCGAAGCTCTTGTAAATGCCAGCAGAGGTGTTGGCCGAAGAGGGCTAACGGGGGTGGAATTCGGCCGGGAGAAGATGGTATATAGTCGAGGGGCTGGCTGGACTGGATTGCTATTGCTGGGGTTTTCCGCTGTAGGGGCGAGTGAGCGATTGTGGAGGTGTCGTGGGGGTCATTCATGCTTGAAGGTTATGCTTTCGGCGGTATCGGCTGGGGGCAAAATATGTATCATAACTTGGGTGATATTTTTGCATGTGGTGGTTTGCCCAATGTGGGGGATGGCTCACAGGTTTTTCACTGAGGGGTGTTCACACGTGCCTGTTTAGGCTATGTTAACTCGAGTACTCGGGGTTGGGGACTACTTCTTGTTCACCGATGTTCGCTAAGTAAGAGCGGTCGTGGAGGTGGTGGGGGCGATGTATGGTATGGGAGATTTGCACTACGATGGATACTGCAGGGCTGAGATACGGCAAGATCAGATGTCACGTTGGTACCGGTATCCTAGCAGCCGATGCCGCCTTATTATGAAACCCGATCATGTTTCTGCCACCCATTGGGTAAAACTCTTAAATCTGCCGAGTTCTTTATAAAGGTCACTCACAATCACAATGCAATGTGCGAAGGACATCGGTTGATCCCAGCATAAAGGTGATTTCCTTTGCTCTATCAAAAAAAAAAAAAAAAAAAAAAAAAACCTTGCCCCCCACACAAACGGGGCAGTACCATTTGTCTGAGAAAAGAAAATACGAGACACCTCCCTTCCTTCTACCGCTCCCTAAGCAAAGATTGGGAGAGTTCCCAAGTACTGCAGACAAAATAGTGGTAAGAATTCATGCTGCTTACGAGATACAGTGAAAGATTATTGCAACTCACGTCAATTGGGTTATTGAATCTCAGACTCTTGTCCAGACCAGAGATAGCCTGAATCTCTGACTCCTCCAAATCGAACGAGGTGACATCCAAGTTCTGCAAGAGCCTGTCTCGGTTGTTGCTCTTAGGGATGACGGCGAGGCCCCTTTGTGTCGGCCATCTCAGCAGAACTTGTGCCGGAGTCTTGTCATGCTTCTTAGCAATGGCGGTGATGGTAGGGTGCTCGAAGAGAGTGGGGGTATCGAAAGCCTTTTTCCAATCAAGCTCGCGGAAACTGGCGGGGCCAAATGAGGAGTATCCTGTCACGGCAATCCCCTCAGATTTGGCTAGGCGGATAAGGTCGGGCTGAACGAGGTATGGGTGGTGCTCGATCTGTAGGACGGCGGGCCGAATGCGGCAGTAACGAAGCAGGTCAAGAATCAGCGCGCCCTGGAAATTTGAAATTCCAACATTCTTAACCAGACCCTCATCGACGAGCTCCTCCATCGCCCGCCAAGTCTCCTGGATTGGTGCCCCGATAGGCTTGATAGAACCATCCGGTGTTTTCCAGCCGCTTGGGTAGCTCACGGCGGGATCAACATATTCAAGGGCGATAGCTATCAAGCTAGTGTTAGAACGGGCACATCGAGGTGTGGGCAATCCCCGAGAGTGGAAACATACGGAAATGGATAAGGAAAAGATCAAAGTATTCCAAGCCCCACCATTCCAACTGCGTCTTGGTAATGGGCTTGACACGCTCGCTCTCGTGGAAGGTGTTCCAGAGCTTGGACGCAATGAAAAGATCTTCACGCTTCACGAGTCCCTCATCGATGGCGCGCTTCACACCCTGGCCAGCCTCCTTCTCATTTCCGTAGTCTGTTCCGCATATGTCAGCCCTGCAATCAAAAGAGGGGATTGGGGAAAACACACACCAAAAGCACCATCAAACAATCTATAACCGGTCTTTATCGCGTGATAGACAGTGTCGGCGCAGGTCTCGTTGGTGACTTTCCAGAGACCGAAACCGACCTGAGGCATCTCCTGCCCCGTAGGTTGAAGTTTGATAGTAGGAACGTTGACCATTTCGAATGGGTGTGAGGGTTGAGTGAGGATAATTTTGCTGATTATCGGGTCTTCACTGTTGGTGATGTCAGAGTTGGGACTAGTCCGCAAAGGGAAGCCTATAGGAATTAACTATTGCCTGGGGAGGAGACAAGCAAATAGTGCGAAGATGTGAATAGATATATGAAGGAGGGGAGCAGCAGGGAGGGCTTATTATATACAAGTCCCTACTCTAGACCTTGAAGGTACACAGGAACCTTGGATGCTTAGGTGAAGCGGTAAATTATGGAAACTGCAAAGTGTAGATTGTGTGCGCATCTAATGAGGAGCGAATCAACTATCTTTCAAGCCGAGCTGCTCGCATATAGGGTCACCGCGGTGGGGCCTACCTGCCTGGTTTGTTTCCTTGCAGCGGGGCACTAGCACCCTTGACGGGCCATCCCCTCAGTAGTCACTTCAAGACACCAACAAAAATTCCATGAACGCCCCCCCGCAGTATTCCATGTTACATTTCCCATCGCTTGCTTGGGAATAAATAGAATTGACCTGGGCTATGGACGCCGGGAGCACACCCGAAAGTTAGGATACAACGATGACTAAAGACTGAAAGTAATTGCTGGAGGTCACGATCCACGCACTAGAGCTCAAAGTTTCTCCCTGAAAGAGTAAAATGTAAAAAATCAGGATGTAAGGTAATATCAATAATAACAGCTTTTTCGGATGCTCATCTGTGGAGACTCCATCAGGCATCTCATTGTTCATTTCTTTGAGAAATAGTAAGAAATTGTCCTATCCGGGGAGGAGAGCGGGCTTGCTTAATTTTGCCTATTACCCCAGTACAGTACTACTTCCCCCCTACTACATTCAGCCAGAGCTCCACTGCAGGTATGATCCCCCCACATTTTAGGGTAGAGATTCTCATAGCATGCGGAAAGCTCCCACGACGACCGAAAAAATGTCAACTGTCCTCATTGTCCAGTTTTGGGCATATCTGATAAGGCCCAGATTCAGCATATGCATGCACCGTTAAGTGGTGTGCCCGAGCACTGTACAGGCAGTACTCGTCATATCGAAGCGTTTTTAAAAAAGGACCGCTATTGCATACCACCAAAGTTTGCCCCCCCCTCCGCTTGTATCTGGATGGTATGCAATGCAGCTCTTTTTGAAAACGCTTTGACACGGCGAGTACCAAAATACTAACCAATAGGCTAAAGCACTGCCAGCCATCCAAAAAAAAAAGTCATTTAGATTTGATCAATTACCTAATTTAATACTAATGCTCCCCGGTTCCCCAGAACTGCATACCTTTCTGCGGGTAATTGTAGGGATATCCTAAGTAATGTAGAGACAGTTGTGTTGTGCGGGGACCGCACTGTATCTACGTTTAGTCTCTCACACACGACAGTAAGCTACCCGAGCCTTTGATTAATGTGCAAATTTAGCTATTATGCATTGGCGGAATATCGATCCTTTCACCTAATATTATATATCAATGTCATGGGGGGAGAACTCGCAGAGCCATTGCAGGGGGGGGGAGTACTGGTAAATATCAACCTTAGCCGCCGAGCCTACCTCCTGGCCAGCTTCTTCAAGACAGCAGCTTGCAGGGGAACTGGGCTTGTTCGATGGAGCCGCAGTACCTCTCCACCCATACGCAGGGGTTTTTGTGCTGCGCTGGGCTTACCCAAAGCTCCTCAGAACCCGCTAGGCCAGAAGATAGTCTTTGGAAAACTCCGATATCCGATGGGAGGCGGGTCCATCGATCCTAGCAGAGGTGCGGGTGGCACAGATATTTAAGCATAATGAATTTTCCGGACTCATGGAGGGAGTTCCTTAAGGTCCGTTCTTGTGGGCGGGAGGAATGACGAGATCAACCAGGCACTATGCAGATGAGGACTCGAGCGGTGAGGTTAATGTGTAACGAGCGGGTGATGGGCAAGGGTGGTCACTTATGGGGGGGCTAAAAGGCATGGAGGAATTGGCGGGATGGTTAGCCCCATCCGCCTATGTGGGGGTATATGTATGATAGGGTCGAACACAAAGTTGCCCTTTGGAGGAGAGTCAGCCCAATCTCGACACCACTAGAACCGGACATGTCCAATATACGACACCATTAGTAGTCCACCGAGCCTGGCGTGAAGCCGACAGCTGGATGGCTCCCGTACCCGTAGACACTCAACCCTTCGTATCTTTGCCAAGCCAACAGCGAAGAAGTTTGTGGATAGCGGTGGATGGCTGGTTACCCACTTCCACCAATACGAGTAGAGTGAGGAAGCATAGGTAGATGCGCAACCGCCGGCGGAAGCGCTTGGATAGCCCGCGTCCCCCGAGCACCTGAGTAAGGACTCATTTCAGAAATGTTAGGCGTACGAACTATCGTAGCGTCATATTATACGACGCCTAGTGTTCTCAATTCCTCACCAAAATATGGTACCAGGCGATATTCAAGCATCAGGCTTTGCAAGCGCTCCCAAAACTACCATTCTCGCTACCCTCAGAGTGTTATCCGAAAACAACCTAAACAAAGCAGGTGCTATACAATACCGTGCCCTATAGTAAGCATAGTTCCGCATCGTAGGAGGGCGAGGAGACTATCACCCAAAGCAGAATACCAGTCTGGCATTCACTTCTCAGATATGCGGAGCATGCCAACTGCCAAGACCACAAAACGATCCTCAGTCAGCATTCCTAAGGCTGCAGGGAGGACCAGAGTTACTGGGATTGGGAGGTCCGAGACGCGGAGGGTTTTTCGAGAATTGTGAGGAGGATGATGTACTGTACGTGCCCCCGTCTAGGTGGGGCGGGATAGCCTTATTGGCGGTGAGAGGTCTACCGTAGCTACGCCCCTCTCCTGTTGGTCTGCTTAGGTACCGTGAGTGTCTTTTTTTTTGCTGAAGCCATTATTGGCATTATGTCTTAGCCATGGGTATGATACTTTAGGAGCTATCGTGAAGAGAGTGAGTAATGACACTTGTAGTTTGCCCCGGGAAGGACGTTTTCGTGGATGGGTGCCTTACATATCCTCCACCCTATCATACTCTCTGCCTGAGCTGTTTCCCGCCCACCCCGCACTGCGTCTTTAACTTTCCAGCTGCCAATCCCCAACACCCTCTCCAAATGCTCTAGCAGCCTCTCCCCCCTCCAGCCCAGCAAATTCGTACGGTACCCCAACCAGCGCAACCCACTGCCGCTAATCCCAAGGATATATCCCTCCCCATCTATCACGTTTCCACGCCCCCCCATCACCACACTCGCTATTGAAATCCCAACCAACCAACGATCCTCACCCGGATACCGGTAGTCTAATCACAATCCAATACCGTATTCTCACGTCAAATTGAGTATCTCCGTACAGGGTTCTTATCTCCATCCTGAAACAAAAGGCTCCCTAGAAAGCCCAGTAAACAAAAAAAAGAATAGGGAAATTGTGTTAACTTTCGCTGCCAGCCCAACAGTGGCTCACACGATCTCCCAATTCCTTTTTTGTTCACTACAAGGCTTTGTTAGGGATCATTTGCCCTGATGCGGAGTTTAGAACCTTGTGCTTGTATGATATCATACGGAGATACTCAATTTGACGAGATAATACGGCAATATTACCAACACCCCCCCCCCAGAGTAAGCAACTATGAACAAGGGTGACCAAAACATGGATTTATTCATTGGCAAACCCCTATGAACCGCCTTTACCGATGAAATCAACATGCCTAGAAATTCGCCTGCTTTTACCAAAGGTTTGGTAGACATCGTCTCTCTACCAATGTGCATGGAATCATCTGATAGTGCCGTAATTCTCATCGGAGGCATACGCCGTGGGGTCTCAGCATCAGTTGACTTTCGTGCTAGAAACTGTGCCGTATATAACTCACTGGATGCCCCGGTAATTCCTCCTGTTTAGCCATACCGGGAGGGGAGATCCAGCGGCAAAGTAGGTGGGGGAGTATTTGTATCATACTTGCAGTTGGGGTTGGTGGGGTGTGATACCGGTATTTGAGATTGTCTTTCAGAGGCTTAGAGGGCTGGTTAGCTCAGGCGGTGGCTGGCTCATGTCTTAGTTTTGGGTTTGGCATGGTGTAGGTGCGAAACAGTTGTATGGTATGATTAGTGGGTAGACTACCGTATCGGGCTCACGAGAATCTGCTCGAGAGGTTTGCTCTGGTATCGAGAACTAGCTCTGCGAATAACCATAACTTCTCCAGTCTCTGACCTCCCCATTCAATCTTTAGCTGGCAATCCCACCTCACTATAGACGGCATCCCAATTCCACGCACACACATCCGAGCAGTCCTTCTCTGCTTTTTTGTCTTAATTATATATCCAGTAGCCTGATGTACACAAGTAAAACCCCCCGTCCATCACCCGCATTCCAACCGATTTTTTTTAAAGAGCCCGAGAAAGCGAAAGAAAAAATTAACGAACAAATTTAAGCCGCCCATTTCCTGCTAATCTTGGCAATGACTACAATAACAATAGCAGTTAGCCACCGAGTTCACGAAAGAAAAAAACTCCCGATATACCAGGTAGAGGGGCCTACCATGCATAGCGACAACACTGAAGATGAAACCCAAGCTGAGAACCAAAACGATAACAGGGTCAACCTTAAGTCCGGGAGATTCATCGGTGTAGAGCTCTAAACGACATCGAATTAAAAAAAGATTAAATTAGCGAGCTGCTAATCACTACCACTTTCAGGTCCCTTTCATCTGGAAGGAAGAAAGGAGGGAAGAGAGAAAAACGTACTCAACATAGTGCTAGAGCTTCCTCCAGCTCCAGCAGCCCTGGTGCTGGCCGGACGAGCATTCGCCGCCTGCGCAGCTCTGTCGGCGGCATTTCGTCGGCGGATGGCGGTCTTGGGCCCACCTGGGGGAGTGGGCGACGAAGGTCTGGAAGAACGAGTACCGCCTTCAGATCCAGAGGCGGCGCCGGTAGGGGAAGTCGCGGGAGGGGAGGAAGACTTATGTGGGAAACAAAAGAACGTTAGTGTGAACTTATAATATTTCATCCCGGTTTTAGGTCTGAGGCGAGGGAAACCTTACCATTTTTTTTTTCTTCAAAAAATGTGAAGGATGGAAGAGGAAGAAAAAAGAAAAAGTATTAGAGATAGACAGAGAGAATGACTAGACTTGGAGAATGGTAAGGAAGTGAGTCGAAGACAGTTTATGCGCGGGAATGTGGTGTTGAAAGGAATTTGCAGTGGTGGTTGTTGGTCGTAAAAGGGGCTTTGAGTGTTGGAGAGGACACATCTCGACTTTTTCCTGGGGCGACGTGTGATGCCTAGACTTTTCGATGACAACGACAAGGGGGATGGGAGGTGTGTCAGGAAATGATTTTTGAGCGGAAATTGAATGGATGAACTCGAGGCGCTGCCTCTATTATTGGTATTTTTCCCAGTGAAGGTCAGATATAAGGTCAGTTTGTCATTAGCATACTTATTCTCCGTTTTCTCTGTGGTGAGAGTTCCACCCGTGGCCTCCAATAGAGCCTGGGGTACCATACGATGCTCGAGTGTACTAGTACCGGTACAGGGTGCGAGGTGTTCCCGAAGGGTTGTGATCCGGTGAGGGCACGATTTGTGGATAGTTCCATAAAAGCTATAGTTTGGATATCTATGATTCTCCAGAAACGTTTTCAAGATACAGAAGCCTCACGAGTATAAATGATATAGTATGATACTTCCTCCGGAAACAGGCCTACGCTATTAACCCACTTCACCTCCCCCCAGTCCATCCAAAAACCGCGCCCGTGCCAGAACACACATCACCCCTCTAGCAACTACATGGGTTAATCAAGGTGTTTTTTTGTTTTTTTTTGGATAGCCCCCCCGGGAGGGTTGCTTCACCACCTAGCAAAAAAAAGAAAAAGAGAAGAGAGGATGGGAACCCACCAGTGAGCTCTACGAGTACAGATCTAACTTTCTCTTCAATGGCGAAACATTCTTGCTAGATTGAATTGGTGGAATACGGGTATACGGTACAAATACCCCAAGCCTTTGTCAAATGACCAACGATGCAGGTATGATACTTGTGCACTAGGGATTTCAATAAATTTATTTATCCTTGCATCGCCGACCCGACCTCAACCTAGGGATGCTATGACACTGCCATACTAGAAGTTTGGTATGCCCAGCGAAGAAATCCACTTCACGGGTCCAAGAGCTATACTGCTCTTACGAAGGATAGGAATCCCTACTGGATTTCATATCATAAGTGAGATGGTAAGATCAAGACGAGCATGCAGATTTTTTTCCTCCAATGAATCACCACCAGCCACAACAAAGCCACCCCAAGGGCCAGAGAATCCCCCCCATTCGAAGGTTGGCAGAGTAACCACCACAGCTTACCTAAACACCATTCCAAACAAGGTAGGGCAAGTCCTGCCTATCCCTTCGTCTGTATTCGTCGCTTTTTAGTGTGCGGTGATTACCGGAAACAGGAATAGTGGGAACAATCGGCTAGCAACACCAAAACTCAAAGAAGAAGGAGATATGAGTATCATTATAGATAGCGTCAGGTACAATACACGGGTGTAAAAGAAAGATTTGGAATGCGCTATGTGTGTGCTGACCGACCTGTAAACTACAATATTCCTTAATTAATACTAATATTAATTCTGTGAAATGTCTGATACCTTACCTGTGAATTGAACCATCATCTCATCTACAGCAATATTACTTGCTGGAATTAAGAATGTTTGAAACTTGCAAGCAAGGTTGTCCGATAATGGTTCCATCTTTTGATACCACTCAGCATACAGGAGGGATTCATAGGGTACAGAAACATGAAAGTATCGCTTTATTTGCTCAAGGTAAAACTTTGACATATACTTCCCTATACTATGCTGAGGCCACTTATATGTCTTTGCCCAGTAGTCAGTATATTGGGGAGACTGCCTAACCCCCATATACAGAATCAGAGCCAGAAATACATGTAATTCTGAAGCTGAAGTATTATACCATCTTCGCTTATGTGAATCTAAAATGCCCTTACTCAAAGCATATCTGTTCATATTCTGAGTGAGAATTTCAAGCTCTAGCTCATCAAAAAATAAGGTAAAGAAATCCAATGCCCTGCTTTGATTGCTTGAAATTGTATCTGGAAGCTGAAGGTGATACTCATGTGGAGAAGCTGGGTATTTCAGGAAATTGAACTCAGGTGGTGCTGGCACAATATTTGAATCCAGATTGATAATCTCTTTGATATGGCATCTTCCTGAAGTATGATGAGCTTCAGGTATATCTTCTTTGCCTTCCTCCTCATGACCATCACTCTCATTACTGCTATTGCAGAGACTGCCTCCACTGCCTCCACTACTGCTCCCTCCCTTGCCTCTTCTACCACTGTCACTATTCCTATCACATTCCTCATGATCTGCTTGTTCCTCAACATGATTTGCTCTCTCTAGCACTTCCAGCTCTTCCTCTATACTCTTATTATCAGACTCAACAGTGTGGTAGTAGTACCACCTGGGGTGAACTGTATTGCTCTTTGATCTGCTGGAATATGCACATAGTTGGCTACCTGAAAGGTATTTTCCAATTCCATACAGTCTTTAATTCTTTCAGTATACCTATCTCACACCGCTATTCATATGCGCAAGCTACTCATACATGGCAATGATATTTTTACTGTGGTTGCATCTTCACACCCTTTCCTCAATTGATCTTCTCCATACAGGGCAAGGTTGCTGTTGATCCTCACACCAGCGCAACGCTAAAAAGCTGCGAAATCTGCACACAGATTAAGGGATCGGGTTAGCACTCCACACTGGATTTCCACAACTCGGAGTTCACCATACTCGAGTGCGATAATTTCATATCAAATCACATCCCAAACGTGCACGCTTACTCCCAAAACATGTATTCTCGTCCTCTAATTTCGCATCATCATTGCTTAAACTTAAAGATCCCCTTAGAAAGCGAGCAGACAAGTGGGATTTCGTTCAAGTCGAAAGAAAATAAAAAATAAAAGTCTGGAAATATAAAAACGAAGAAATACAAAGCCAGCCCAGTACGATGAAGTTACTCCCGTGATATCTACCATTAAGGCCAAATGGTAGTAAATAGAAAGCGCAGAATATAGAGAAGGAAAAGGAGATAAAAGAAATGAAGACAGAATACTGATCCCTCATGAGTTTACCATTGAGAAAAGGTTCCTCTTCATTTTCCTTTCATTCCCCCTTTCCGTTCACCCGCGGCTTTTGCTTCCCTATTCGCCCCTTTAAAAGCCCGGCCATGTTGAGTTCTGCGGGGTCGCACGCGGAGAAAATGGGATGAAAAGAGGAAGGGACGATGGCTAGAGTTTTTTTTATTTTTTTCAAACTTTTTATTGTTTTGAAAAACCATTCCCGATGAGCTGTTGAATGTTTTTTATGTTCACAGAACCCCAACCACCCCGAGAACCCGAAGAAAGCAAGAGAAAACACGATACACCCCTATAACAATGACTCCGCACTAGTGGAAAGTGCTTGGCCTCTTGGCCGAGAAGACCTTGGCGCTGACGGACTTGGGCACACGATGAGGGAGAGGGAATTTCAGACCCTTGGTGATGAGCTGTCTAAGGTATGGGCGCTTGACATCTGAGGCCTTCTCAATCTCGACAACCTTGAGGATCTAAATTTCGGGAAAAAGGAGTACATTAGACTTTTGTCAAAAGATTTTCCCACAAGGAGGGATTCATGACTCACATGGATCGACCGGAAACGAGCGCGGTGCCTGGCAGCCATATCCTGGTAGAGGGACTGGACGGCATCGGTGCGGGAAAGCTCACGGTACTCCTTGTACATATTGTGAGTTCCGCTGCGGGAGTCGTAACGGATCCAGATTCCAAAGTTCTTGACTTTCTGAGGACGCTTCTCATGGATCTATCCCCCCATAAAATACCGTCAACACCCGTTCCTACATCCTTTCCGTTGTCGGATGGATTTTGACTAAACCACATACCACATTCAGAGACACAATCTCACCAGCACTCTTTTTCACCTTCCTGAGCTTCTTGAGGAAATACCAGAAGCGGGATTTAGCAACGACGGTGTTAGGAGCGAAGAGGCGCATGCGGTAGAGCTTGGGAGTGGGGTCCGCATCTGAGGGGAGTTTGCGGCCAATGACCTGGTATTCCGATAGGCGACCTGTGGGAATAAGGAAAATGAGTCAGCGCAAAGCGAAATGGAGGAGACGTAAATTGAGAACCAAAACTTCGGAGAAGGTTTTAGTCTGAATATGCGTGGAAGTCATGAGGATTGAGAGGCCAATATGTAGATAAGCAAGAGAGAGAAAGCCAGCAGAGCCTTTCCAATGAAGCCACCACACGTAGATATGTATAAACCCTTGCCCCTCGATCAATTGCTCATCGACAAATTCTCTGCTTAGCTGTTGCTGGCTGCCTCCGCCCCGCCCCCTCCAATTTGTGTACCTCCAACACTATCAGCCTCTCATCCGTCCCCGCAATCTCTCTTTTGTCCTTCCTCCCTCTCCTGCTCCCTACCAAATGGCCTAGGGAATAAAGAGAATATATTAAGGGAAAGTGAAAGTATGTAAAACGTACCCATGCTGTTTCGTGATTATGTATTAGCGAATGTATGTGCAAAAGGAAAAGTTAAAGAAAGAAGATAAAAGGCGTAAGAACAAGATCAGTTTGTTTTCTAGCTACTCACGTTGAATTATCGTCGGTTGAAGGTCGGCTGGTGTATCGTCTGGTCGTCGGGGATGGTTGTTGCTGGTCGTCACTTTTCTTTTGGTGTTTGGGTCGGGTCCAAATCGCACGCCCAGCAACGACGGGGAGGGTTGCGATGCTGTTGGTGCGGGACTGCTGAGGCTAGGGCTAACCCTGGAACGTGCTGGTGGGCGATCTCAAAGATTTGTGCGAATTTTCCCTGACTAAATCGCTGTATCATAGTCCCACACACAAATAATATCTTGTATGATAGGACTCTTCATCGGGGCTTATCCCATAATCGCTGCGTCCAAGAGATCGGTGGTATGATATGCGCTTGCACTGTACGAGTACTTGTACTGCGGGGTCTCGGTTTGAAACTCGAGTGATTTATTGCCGATTAAGGAAGGATACTTTCCAGATCACGTTGCCATCCTAAACTAAACAAGATCTCTTGGGCCCAGAAAGCAGCCGACTAATGGATGGAGCGACTATTTGCGGTTCGAGCCACTGGTACTACTCGCTCGTACAGTATCATTAAATTTCTATTTATCTGCTCTCGAGTCGATTGCCGGTACTCCCATTCGCGCGTTTCTATCATAATGGCAACGTTCGTTACCCTTATGAAGGACTGACAGCGCTCGCTGGAGTTTGGAATTATCCGGACATAGGTTCCCGGTATATTACAAGTAAATACAATTCGACAATACTCCAGGGGTAATAAAAATTGCAAAAGTATAATTTGGTAGAAAACAGTCAAGATATAGCACTCGACGTGATCATATGAAAACCGCCATACTTCTCGAGTATGTCTAATTGTGATAACAGTTAGGAATCATGTCTCCGCTCCCACCAAAAACCTCCACCACGTGTGACGCTCGCTCTCCTGCCCATAAGCCTATAATGCCTGTATGATATTCTTTCTCCCCTTTTTTCCCTGTTTCCCTGTTTTCCTCTTTTTCTCTCTTTCGCCTTAAGTCCTGTTTGGTAGCACAGAAAAACTGAGTTTTTCTCACTTATTCTCAGTTTTTTCTTCGGTATTAAAGTGAAACACTAGGGGGTATTTGATGGGTGCAAAAATGCCATGGTATGATATTTTAAAACTCACAGTTTTTTTATTTTCATTTTTTTTTTTTTTCATATCATACCATATCTCCTGTAAGTCCAGTAGTGTAGGGGTAACTTCATACTTTTTATCAAATCAGATGTATAAAAATCAAGTTATTATCTGATCAGACTCGAATTTTACTAGAAGTTCTTGTTTTCATTAGCATAAGAAATAATATAATATATACTAGAGTATGACTAACTAGGAGGGGGAAAAATTTCACTCAGTTAAATTTCACAATCTCTAAGCCTGAATATAACCTATATTATAAATATTTTAGTATTTCTAATAATATACCAAACAGGGACTTATAATATATTATTATACTCGGAGTCACAGTCACTTATTGGGGTAATATATATATTTAGCCCTGTCAAACACTAGGATTTCCATAAAAACTCAGTTTTTTTATTCTGTATGTCACCAACAGGGCCTTAACTGTCTTCTTTGAGATCAATCAATAGCTCAATCTCAACTCTACGTTTGCTCATTCGTTCTCTGCCTCCGTGATTCCACTCAACAATAACCAATTGGAGACAAAGCCAGGTTGACTTTGTATACCGGTAGTGCAATCAAGCATAAATATTTCTCAATTACGTAGAGCCTCAAAAATAGAGCATCTTGCCCTTCCCTTTTAAGAATTTCAACTCATCGTTCAAGCTCACTGTGTCAACCATCTATCAATATCATCACAACAGTAGCCGGCCTTCAAAAAACAAGTCAGTTTTACTTGCTTATAGTGGTGATAGAAAACGGGAGTGATTGCTTGCTTTTGCGGCGCCGGTTTTCTATTGGTAATTGGCTTGGTGGGGGGCAAGCGAGAGGAATCGTTTTTCATTCAAAAAGTTATGATGTAAGAAAATTTGGAGGATGAGTATAAACGGTTTTGGGCAGATTTTTTTTTGATTGGCTGCACCAGGGTGTATGTCGCTTAGGGCCTGTTTGGTGGGAACGGAAGGCGGGTCGACCGTTCCGTTCACACATACAAAACGACCATTTCGGAAATGAAGGACGGCCATTTTTGTATGGGGAACGGTCGCAAACTGAATGGAACGGTCGTTGCCAAACAGGCCCTTAAGAGTTAATTGGAAAGCGATTCGCAGCAATGAGTGATATCTCATGATGCCGGGTTTTTAAACGGCAACCATTTGTAATATTTGCAATGTAACAGGAATATGACTCCAATCGCCAGTGGACTTTGGGGTAAGTGGGGAAGTTCGCTCGTTCTTATTCAACACTCTCGCTCTCCCCACACACTCTCTATTAGAAAGAAAGAAAAAAATCACCCCCGATCAACATTAGTTTAACATAAAGAAGAAGAAAAAGAGGGGAGAAAATTCTAAACTAGAATGAAAATGAACAGCTTTGGCCTCAATCTGATCGCGAGTGTAATAAAAAATTGAGTTTTGTCACCATGCCGTACTCGCAGCAAGAGGCCTTTGAAGGGCATAGTGGAAAACAGAAGTGTTCCTATGATAGTTGGAGGTGAGGTAGAGCAATGAATTTTCCAGTGTAGAGTGTTATCACAAGTAGTAACTCTTTCAGCATTTGAGCACAAGTTTGGGTGTTCTGAAGCAGGAGCAGGAAATTTTCGCTAGACTTCAAGGTTAATTTGCCATTCAGCAGATATGATATGTGCAATGATGACTGCTTTAATGGCATAACTGTCTTGGACAAGCCATCATTTGGCGGCCAGACGGAGCTGCTCGGAACATTGTAACTCTCCACATTCGGTCGCGTAGGTCGGCTAATCATGGGGGACAGGCCTCAGCGCAAATAGCATCAAACAATTGTCTCCTTCCTTGCAGGAGTTGCTGTAAATAGTACGGGTTGGCTTGTACATTTTAGAGTGCCGGGCGCTGGCGTCCGCATTTCGTAAAGACGGGAGTCTGAGAGGTTGACTATGGGTCCCCGCCTTCTCGAGCTAGTGCTATTCTAGGATGAGTCTGAAAGTTACCGAGAGGGGGGAGGAGTCACAGTCAGTCACCTAGGTCCCGGCAGTTGTCCACAGTCAGGATATCTGCAATGACACCTACGGGGCCCCGGGGTCCGTCCTAGTCAGAGAATATGACGGACACTACTGCTGCAGTCAGTCCCGGGCACCATCTTCAGTAATACGGTCCGTCCCGTCTTTAGATGGGGACGGGTGGACTGGACTATTGGGTACAAGGCGGCGGCAGCGGGCCGGGGCCACGGAACCCGGTGGGGGAACTGCTAAGAGCCCCGAATGGGATATGACTATATTTAGCAGCATGTCCAAGGCAGCGATATCTCTGGGCAGCCGTCATTTCTCGGAGGGCGGGCCCTGCAGGGTGAGATTGTGGCTTGCAAGGGTAAGTGTATCATAAGACTGAGTGTTCTGGTGACGGATTTTGAGACGCAGTTTCGCAGAAAGGAGTCCCGACCCTGATCCCAGAGCCATTGCCATATGTCATATCAGGAGGATTAGACGTGCTTGACCTAAGGCAGTGGAGAGTCAGAAGTCCTTCGTCAAATTTCTGGTGGAAACACCAGACTAGTAGCGCCCGGGAGGGTGGAGTAGAGGTATTGTTTGTCGAGAAGAATATTTTTTCAAAGTCGGCTATTGGGCTTTCGAGGGTCTATTTTGGGGTAGTTGCTAATAGGGCAAGTGGGAAATTTGCAGAATTGTTTTACCTTTTGAAGAATAAATATTTTTTCCTCAATGTTCCAGCAGTCCGTCGAGAACTGGATTGTTTCCTCGATCATGTGTTTAGTGGAAAACTTAGAGGGTGTTTGGCAATGCGACTTTTGAGTGGTGGTTTGCTAGTGTGCTCGAGCAAACCCTGCTGCTTCGGGACTGCTGGTATGGCTGAAGATTCTCCTATGGACCATTAGACTATCGGAACTATGTGCTTGGGTTACCTCCATACGGGTGCCAGAGAAACACTAAGTAAACAACAAGCGCTGCTCGAGTACGGTACCGACTGTGATCTAAGCTATCCATCGTGAGGTTGAAACAGACCTCCGGACCAGCACCGTAAATCATTTCCATGGAGGAGGGATACTACGGTGCGGTATTAACTCGAGTTATTTACTATCTCCGCCACGCCCCCTAATCTCCGTTTTCTGAAATAAAACCCCTTAAGAAGGATTAGTGTTTTCCTCTCAAAGTAAAAACTGAATTTGCTGGCTGTATCGGATCTCATTAACTGGTGTTCTCAATTCTATTAACCTGTTAAACTAGACCAATTTTGGACTGATGCCAGGTAATACGGTATTGGCATTGCGGTATGATACTTGTAAAAAGAAAAAAGAAAAAAGGCTCGGAACCCTACGGTACAGTAAGGCTCAAAATCTGGTTTGTGGATTTTTGAAGTCCTGCTAGTTCGTTTGCTTTGGATTTAGAGAGGAATGTATTTTCTTTGCGGTTTGGATTGGCTAGGAGCTAAAATGATAGGGTACAAGGGTAGGAACCTATTAACCGGAACAGACAAGGATGTATTTGGCTGGTTAACCGCAAATAACTGTTCCAAAACTTCTTGCCAGACCTTGTATGTTGGGAGGAGGAAGGGAAAACTGTTTTCTTTCTGTATGTAAGGAGATTTTCTCCACCTGTCTTATAAAGTAGATAGCAACCAATGAACCAACATCAAACTCCACAAAACATGAATTGAACCAAACAAGTCTTAGTGTGGGAGTGAAGTACTGTACACCAACAGATAAGACTTTCCTTGAGAGTGCAAGGACTGATTGATACGAATTTTGCAAACTGATTTTGTTTCCTTTTTCTTTGATTGTTTTTCTTTTGAACCTACCGATTTTGACCTTCTCAAATTCCCTTTCCCGAACGGAATTTTCCTTTTCTCAGTACAAGCTTGGTGACAGAATTCGTGCCCTCCCCCATTTTACACCAAAAACAGGTATTTTCACATTGCAAAACTTCAACTCCACCATTCTACAAGGGATTGAAAAAAATCCCTTGAGCCATTAGGGTTATCTAGGTACTATCATCCATTGGTGACAAGCTCTCTTGGTAAATATTCATGATGCAATACCTGAAATAATGAGGGTGGGTAAATGGTACTTACAATTTTGTATGAGTTTGCCATACAAATAGTATATCTGTAACGATCCCCCTTTGGACAGTTAATTCTTGGCGATGGGGAATGATACTTCTCTTTGCTGTCTTCTTCTTTCTTCGTCTTACGATAGCTCTAGGTCTCTGCCTATGTTACCGATAGTACAAGACCTTTGTCTTCTATCGGAAACGCCTATCGTAAGCTTTCTCTAACTTGTCTTCGTGAAGAACTTTCCTTCACGTAATGATAACGTTGCAGTAAAGATAAAGATTGTAAAGATGTTTTATATTTGTTAAAGTAATAAGTAGGAAAAGTACTTAGAAATCAATTCAATTTTATTTAAACTCGTACCGCCAACACTGGCATACAACGAGCCCCCACCGGTACAGGAATACCGCTAACCGGTATACCACTAATCCTAAGCTAACCAAATCTACGGCCCCACACCTGCCATCCTTGAGTCATGCCCGCACGAGAACTAATTACAAGACTATCAAACAACCCAGCGCCCTCTCCAGTCCAAGTCCATAGCCCCTCTAGTATGAAGCCAACCAGCACCAAGTGTAGCTGAAGCTGAGCAAGAGACCAACCCAACCAGATTCCTCGTCCAATAAATATAAAATCACTACCACCCAGTCTGAATACTGTCCCGCAAAACCTCCTCCACAATAAAAAACCAACAAAAATACACACAAACTAATACTACAGGCAACACAATGGCAGAGAGGAGGTAACCAACATGTCCACCTCTCGCATCCACATGCCCGGCCATCGACTCTATGAACTCACTTTGCCAAGTGCCTCCGAAGAGCGTAGTAGTGAGGAGGACCTGTACCTGCTGCCTGTCCCCCAAAAACAAACACATAACCAAAAGAAATACATAGAGGTGGTAACAGACTCAAAAGGGCCAGCGGGGCCTATCTCCCACCCATGGTGCCTTGCCCCCACCAGCCATGCCTATTGCCAAACCAAACAAACCAAACAAACCCCACAAAACCCAACACATAAGACCCAAACAAGTCCAACCAGGTGGTCGCAACCCACTATCTGCACAGGTGGCCATCAACCATCCGGGTCATCGAGGAGCTTTGCAGCACTCAGCAGCTTCACCCAAAAGCCCCATCAGGCCGGAAACACTTAATTAGACATCGCCAAATCTGACACATGCCCGACCGGTGCTCGCAGGTGCCTCTCCTCTCCCAATCAGCCACCCCCAAGCCCCACACTCCAGGCGCCACAGAGCCCATCCAGCCCCATCAGCCCCTCAGACAGATCAACCATCTGACAGTCACAGGACAGCTATACCTAACCTTATCAGGCAGCCATTGGTCTTGGCCGTGCCAACAGAGCCACAACCCTCGACTCCATATAGCCGAGGAGAGCCCACCAGCCAAAGCCGGGAGCCACAAAGGAGGCAGCACTAATACCTGAAGGTACCAGCACCAGCCACACCAGCCAGTCCAGCCGAACTGAGGTTCAACCGAGCCGTGAAAAGGGTAAGCAAGGCCAGCCAAAGCCAGCCCCACAGGCCCGGCAACAGGTACAGACCGAACGATGGGCAAGAGGCATCCCCAACCGACGCGACAAGAAGGGAGAGAGCGAGTGAACAGAAGCAGACAAACAGAAGGTAGGCTCCACTTGCAATAGGTGAAGCCGCCAACCACAGACCACAACTGAACCATCCAAATGCACAGACAATGCGAGTGCCTGGTAGCCAATTGTCCCACACCGTCCCGGGCAGCAACAATAACCACACCAGGGGGTAAGAGTTTTCAGGGTCAAAGCCATCCCCACGAATGTGAGGAGGAGATGCCTGACTGAATTACTGTAAATGCCGCAAGGATAAAAACTTCAAGGGAACGGCGATAAACAACATCGTAGGATTTCGACCGTAGAAACGAAAACATAATGAAGAGGGGCTGGGTGGGTACCACCCTGCCACCTGAGGGATGATGCGGCCGGTACGACGAGTTGATACTTGGGAAGGTCATCAGTCTAACCCAAGGGCGTTTTGTATCGTGAGAACTAAGGACTCTGTCAAAACCCAATAAAAGACATGAGCTGGCCCAAAGAACGACACGGGTGATCTCCCCAAACACAATGTTCCATCCCCCCAATCGAACACGAAACCTGCGAGTAGACGATAGATAGGAAGCCGTAGACATTTTACTGAAAGGGGCTCGTATGTGACCGTGATGAAGTGCTCGAAGTGCTAGTATTGTGAGATAACCAACCCAACGAAACGAACCGCAAACAAGTTATCCGCCATGTAACACCTAACAGACCACAACACCAAAGACCCTAGGAACTACTGAGCGAACTCAGATATCTCCCCCAGCATCTAAGGCATCAAGGCCCATCATGATGGCAAAAGAATCGCTCGGGGTGAAGCGACGGCAAGGACGAGGAAAAGTACTTAGAACAAAGTGTGAAGAACCTATCTTCCTCGGCCGCATCGGCCTCCTTATATAGTATTCTTCCCGCCCATAGTCATGTGACCTAAAGTGATCATATGTGCGAAACCAAATCATAACAAACTAATCATGTGACCAAAGTGATCCCATGCTCAAAACCCATGACCTCATAGCGAGATCATGTACAAAAACTCATAAACCAATCATAACGCAATAAACAAGTCATATGACTCAACTGAGTCATATGTGTGAAACCCATGACCTCATAACGAGGCCATGTGTGAAACATAACTCATATGCGCAAGGCTTACCCGCAAGGTACACTCGCAAGGCATACTCGCCAGGTGTACGTCCCATGACTCATATTTGAGCCATGTGCGAAAGCATCACAAATCCCACACATAACAAATCATATGACCCGAATGAGTCATATGTGTAAAACAATAACATACCTATGACTCATAACTATGTGTCACATGAAAGCCTCTTTCATGCCAAGCCACGTTTGTGACAATATCGTGGCATGCATCCAATCTTAACACTAAGCTCTTAGCCATCATGGTGGAGTGGGAAAATTCTCATAATTTTTACCCAGAGAGTCTAGATAATTACAGTGCCTCGTCAGAAGTATTCGTAATCTGAGACATGTTTAATTGCGGTTGCACCGTTGGACTGTGGTGTGGGGTTGTCAACAGCGCTCACGTGATACGAGTGTATGATCAACCCTCAACTACCACCTCTCAATGATCAACTGTTAATGATCAATTATCTGCTATATATATTTTAAAGTAAAATAATAATAAATAAGGCTAGCTAATACTTTGTATAACCTCCCCTTGCTTTCAATACTGCAGTTACTCTACCAGGCATTGATTTCTACAACTTTTCAAAAAACTCCTCAGGAATTGTCTCCTAAACCAAAGGTAATACTTGTGCAAGCCTCTTCTTAACAGCTTCTTTTCCTCCTGGGGTATCTCCAATTCTTGGATATTGCTGGTGTAATCGCTTTTTAAGTTCAACCCATACATGTTCAATAGGATTCAAATCAGGGGAATATGGAGGGTGCTTCTCAACCTGAATACAATTTCTCTCAAGCCAATCCATGATACCATATACCTTATGAACAGGAACATTATCCTGCTGAAAAAGAATATCTTCAAGTTGCATACCAAAGGAAATTATTTGATAAATTACAGGAAAAAGATGTCTTCTTAAGAGTCTAACATACCTGGTCTTGTTGATATTTTGGGTAATAGGAACCAAATGACCTTTTCTCTTACCCCAAAAGCACCCCCATACCATAAGCAAAATACCCTTATCCTTTTCCTTTGGGTAAATACAGTCTGCAAGCCACTGCTCTCCAGGTTCCCTGAAAACCCATTGCTGCCTTGGATCCCTGGATTCCTCCACACTGCACTCATCATTCCAGATGACTCTCTCAAAATACTCAGCTGTCCAATTCCTATGAGCAGTAGTCCATCTTAGTCTCTTAGCTATATGAACAGCCTTGAGCTTGGGTTTTGACTTGGCTAGCCATTTCTTAATATTGGTATCTCTGAGTACTCTATCTACTATAAATTTGTTAGAGAATCATGTTCTATCACTCAGGCTCAGATGGGTACCAACCAGTAGAAAAAGAAATACCCGGCGCATATTTATCCCTGAAATCTGATCTGGTCATTTTCTGGTTGGATTTGGCAGCCCGGATGATTGTGCAATGCTGTCGCTGGCTGAGAACAGGTGTGCAACCAGGACGAGGACTATTATCCAAGGACAAACGCTCACATGCGCGAGTGAGAAAGCTTTTAATAGTTGACCATGGCCAGCCAATAATTTGAGCAACCAGAGCAATATTCCAGAGGCAGTGGAAAAATCCGATGATCATGCCTTTTTCCACATTGGTCATTTCAGTTTGAGTGGTCTTTGGATTTCGCTTTTTTGGCTTTGATTTATATCTGGATCGGTTAACCATTGGAAATTTGGAGGAAATTAAAATTAAAGAATTATTTGAATAGAGGATCACCGTATCATGGTGTGTAATATTGTATGGGGCAGGTATCATATGGTTGCGCGATCAGTGAGCTGGTATTTGGCAAGGTGGCATTTGGCGAGGTGGCATTTTTGGTGAGGTTGCTTAGTAAGACGATCACGAACACTTCTGACGAGGCACTGTACCTACATCACAACATTAATTTCGTTAATTCTATCTTGTTTTTAGGTATGTTGTAGGCGACTGAAATCTGCCATTTTTGGTGTAAAATGGTAAAAGGGCCATGAATTCTGTCACCAGAATCGTACTCGTACTTTTTATGATGAGATGGTTACGACCGCCGTCTTGGTGAGCGACACAACTCGGTGCGCCACCGTGTATGGCGTTGGAGTGCCTGTACCGCACCAAATCACTGCTCCTTGTCCCAACTTGCCCAATGTGACATTCCCGCCCTCGCGTTCCCCCGCAACCCTTTCCAAACACGTTCATTTGAGCCTCTTATCCCACTTCTCATGTTATCACCACCACCACCGCCCAATATAAACATCACTAAAACATAGCATCTTCATCATGACCACACTCTAGTACGTGAGCCCGATTTCCCCTATTTCTCCCGCTGCATCGAACCTAACACAGACGAAACAGTAAAACGTTTCGTAGAGCATTGACTACCAAGGACGGTGCTCTACTCGGCAGCATCTTCTCCCCCGAAAATCCGGACCGCGGAACATTCGCCTTCTCTACTAATCACGAGAGGATTCGCGGCGACGTCGAATACGAAATCTCCGGTCTGACCCCCTTACGCGATGAGAATACCAGAGCTGCCTGGATCGACACCTTGGTCTGCTACTGGAAGATAGCGTACATTCTGGAGCGGGACGATGGGGCAGATGTGAGTTGGGCGAAGGCTTACGAGGGGCAGAAGGATCTTTTACTGTTGGTTCCCATCTCTCCCAAAGTTTAATGTCAGTTGTACGGTCGACTGACGGCCATGCGTGATTCTCGCGGGGAATAGAGTTATGGTTAGGGGCTATACAAAGGGGAACTGGCCGCATTGGACACTTCCCGTCATGTACCAGATTTGTCTGTCTTTGAGAACTGTTGCTATATTATCGGATGACCAAGCGCGAAGACTTGGGAAGGCCTCGGAACACCTTGAGGATGCGGCGAGGTATATTAACAAGGCCTTTACATTATGTATCAGCGACCGGTGCGTTCACATGTTGGTGCATGGTTTAAGTGATGGAAGGCCAACCAGCTAACGGTATTGTAGCGCCCCTATTGAGGAATCGAGAAAATGGGGAACTTATTATATTGTTAACCTCATGTTCAAAACTTACTTCAAGGTAGTGTCCTTACACGGATATGTTAATAAGCTGATGATACTAACAATTGACCAGTTAAATTCTGTCGGTCTAGCAAAAAACATACTTCGTGTGCTTCCTGCTTCCCTTGCTGACATGCCACCTTTGGAAGCATTCCCCAAAAGCCACATTGTTACCTTTAAATACTACTGTGGAGTTGTCAGCTTCTTAGAAGAAGACTACGGGAATGCACGTCACTACTGCAGCCCCTGCCCCCCCGCATTGTAACAGCCTCGATTCTAACATATCACCTTAGGCAGAAGCACACCTAACCTACGCTCTAAACCACTGCAAGGCCGATTCCATCCGGAATAAAGAGTATCCCCTCCCCGAATACCTACCAACCCACCTGCGGTTACTCAGCTAAAACTCACCTAGATTAATCCTAACCTACCTGATCCCCACAACAATGTTAACGAAGCACAAACTCCCGACCCTGGAACTCCTCTCCCGTTTCCCCCGCCTAGCAACACTCTTCAACCCGGTTTGCAAAACCATTAAATCCGGCAACCTCCAAGCCTTCGATGCCGCCCTCCGCCACGGCGAAGAAGAATTCGTGAAGCGCAGAATCTACCTCACCTTAGAGCGAACGAAAGACATCGCCATGCGAAACCTCTTCCGTAAAGTCGTTCTGTACCAGAACGAGGAGAGCAGGACTAAGATCCCCGTAAGACAGTTTCAGATTGCCATGGGGTGTGCCGGGCGAGGGGAAGGGCCGGGGGCCAGCGGATACTGGGATGGTAATGATGGTAATAGTGATGGTGAGCATGGGGTAGTGGAGGCGGACGGTGACACGGTTATGCGGTCGACACCGGAGAGGGTCGAAGTCGAGATCGAGGAGGTGGAGTGTTTACTGGCTAATATGATATATAAGGGCCTAATGAAGGGCTATATCTCCCGCGAGAGGCAGACTGTCGTGCTGAGTGGGAAAGAGCCGTTTCCTGGAACCGTAGTGTAAATTTCTGGTGGGATGTGAACCTTGCTGCTTTGGCCGGCGGGTTAATAATATCCCCCCTCGCCTCGCGGGGTTTTCTTAAGAATGATGATATGTGAGTTTTTTCTTGCTGCTGTTAGGAGCTTGAGTTAGCTGGAGGGGGGGTCTCCCTCTCAACTACAGTATCCATTTTGTTTGTGCATGAGATAGTCATTGCATTGTGATTTGGATTAACTTGCTTACTTGCTTACTACGGTTCGGGGCAATGGTTTGTTTTCTTCTCTTTTTCTTTTTCTCCTCATGGTGATTGTTTGACTATGGTGCTGTCGTATGAATGAGTTATCTTTTCTTTCTTTTTTTCGCTTACAGTACATGGATGGGTGGGGGGCTGGTATAGTACTTGTATGGGGAATTGAATTGGATTGAAAGTTGGTAGTGTATGGTACATGGTGAAGGTTTGGTAACAGGGACTGGCTTTTTCGCAACGCCGGAAGGCTTTTGCGTGGCTTCTATAGCATAAGTTCATGTAATTACAGTACCAGTATGGAACGAGGGGGGTAGTGAATTGCACAAATTCGGGTTTTCAGGGATTGGTATTTCCCCTTCCGTGCAACGAAGCGATATGGTAATAGCGAAGGGGGAAAAATAAAGAAGCTTATCCGCCGGATTTCTAAAACTTCCCCTCAATCTAAAATTTGTAAACCTCCTCCTTCTTATACCCCAACTCCTTCAACACCCCCTCCACCTCCCCTTGATCCGAGGGACTATTCTTAACGCCACTGATTGCCTTGTACATCCCCGGAGGACCACACACGAATATCTTATTATTCCCACTGCCCGGTTCCGGCAACACCGTCTTGAGCAACTCCTTCGTCACGCGTCCCTGTGTGGCCCGCCTCGACCCCTTCGGCGCATTATCTAGCAGATAGAAAGCCCTAAACCTCTGCGGGTACGTATTCTCCAAGTTCTCCAACTCTCTCTTTAGCAATATGTCTTCCTCCGTGAGGTTGCCAAAGACTAGGGTGACCTTGGTATTGTCCTCCGGGTTGCGGAAGATAGCGCGCATGAGCTGGTACATAGGGGTTATCCCCGTGCCGCCGGCGATGAGTGCGATGTGCTCGTGCTTGTTCGGTGTCCACTCGTATTTTGGTATGGGGCCTTTAAAGGAGAGGCTTTGGTCTATGTTCATTGAGTGTAGGTGTGTGCTCATTGGCCCGTTGTCGTATTTTTTCACCAGGAGGTCGAGGTAGCCACGGGCGTCTTCGTCATTTATTGGAGTGTAGGGTCTGATTGTGGGTTTTTCGTCGGTGGGGGATTTGTATTTAGTTAGGAGGGCGGCTGTGGGGAGTAAATTTGTTAGCGACTTTGGTGCATTTTCCCATCGGAGGTGGGGGTAGAAGGAAGGAGGGCTTACAGGCCACTTTCAACCCACTGACATGATTCTCGCTCGGGAGTTTGAAGCGGAACTTCTTCGTATTGTGAGTTACGGGGGTGATTTCTACCAACTAATACATTCCTTCATGAGAACCTCTTCCAATTCCCTTATCCCCTCATCGAAATAGAGTGTGCCAAACAACAAACCTTCAAATCAACCCACTCCCCGTTCCCCTTGAAGGTAGTCTCCGCCGCCTTAGCCTTCTCACTGCCGGTTGTGTAATAGTAGTAATACCCCGCCCCAGCAGCGCTTCCTGCGACCACGGAGTACAACAGCAAATTGGACTTTTTCGGTTTATTTGCCGCAGCAGAAGCGTAAGTTCTACGAGAACAAGTAGCAGGAGTGAAAAGGGAGGAAGTGCGGGCGAGGGCGGCGCGGGCAAACATGTTTATTATGAGATCTATTGGGTATTCGGGGAATTGGTGAAAGGAAGGGGATGGTGGTGGTAGTGGAGTTTTCCGTCGTCGAGTATAGTGGGTAGAGAGGGTGGGAGGAGGGTAAAAAGGGATGAAGAGGGCGGAACAGAGGAAGAGGGTGGGTGTTTGTGTAGTAGAAGCCCCAACCCCTCAACGTTCCACAACCCCACAACGTTCCACCCCTGTAGGCCATACCAATTACAATTTCGAACATAACAACTACAGATAGCCATCTAAATACAAAAAATAAAATCATAGGGAGATCGATCATGATTATTAAAACAAAGGCACATCATAATATACTCCTCCAACGATGTCTGCTTTGCATGTAATTGGTGATGAAGGAGGAGAGGACTGCAGGACTCCACTTGCTCTTGCAGCTGCCTGGTATGACAGAAATTGGCTGTTCGGGGATGGTAGTACTCGGCAAGTGTCTGAGGCAGGTTGCTGGTACTCCAGCAGCTGAGTTTCAACCCAGTTGAGCGTGGCTTGACGTGTATGATCGCGGGCCTCTGCAGCATCCAACCTCTGTCCCACCTCCTGTGCTAGTTTCCTGAGCTCCCATGTCGTGCCGTCACGATGGAATTGTTGTAGCAGCAAGGCAATCTCCCTGCCACTTTTATCTGCATACTTAGCCTGTACAAGCCGAGGAGGGTGCAGAGGGAGGCCATTATCATTATTATTATCGGAAGTGGCAGCTGCCTTGAGTGAGATAGCAACATTCAGTGGTATAATACCAGTATGGCGAAATCTATGCTGGCAATTTCGTTCAGTGATCGCAGGAGCTTGAGCCTCATCATACATTTTGAAGAACAATTGGAATGTAATTTTCAAAATGCCTTCAGATATGTGTCAGTAGAGCTTATTATGAAATGACTGCTTCAGGACTCCAAAAGTGTGACGATCTCTCCTCGGATAGTTAGTTCTTGGTGACAGGGAACGATATTTCTCTTCTTCTGTTTCTTTCCTTAGTCTTACGATAGTACTAGGCCTCTGCCTACGTTACCGATAGTACAAGACCTTTGTCTTCTATTGGAAATGCCTATCGTAAGCTTTCTCTAATGCTTCTTTGTGAAGAGCTTTCCTTGATGTAATGATAAAGTTGCAATAAAGATAAAGATTGTAAAGGTGTTTTATATTCATTAAAGTAATAAGTAGGAAAAGTACTTAGAATTCAATCTAATTTTATTTAAACTCATACGGCCAACACTATCATATGACGAGCCCCTGCCAGCACAGGGATACTGCTAACTGGAATACCACTAATCTTAAGCTAACTAAGTCTATGGTCTCGCACCTACCATCCCTGAGTTATGTCTACACAAGAACTAATTACAAGACTATCAAACCACCCAGTGCCCACCCCAGTCCAAGTCTGTAGCCCCTCTGATATGAAGCCAACCAGCACTAAGTGTAGCTGAAGCTGAGTAAAAGACCAACCCGACCAGGTTCCTCATCTAACAAACATAAAATCACTACTATCCAGTCTAAAAACTGTCCTACAACCCCTCCACTATAGTAGAAAACTAACAAAATATACAAACTACTACTACAGGTGACACAATGGCAGGGAGGAGGCAACCAACATGTCAACCTCTCACACCTGCATCCCCAGCTGTTGACCCTATGAACCCATTTTGCCAGTTGCCTCTGCAGAGTGTACTAGTGAGGAGGACCTATACCAGCTGCCTGTCTTCCAAACAAAACAACACAAACATAAGAAATACATAGAGGTGGTGACAGACCGAAAAGGTCAGTGGGGCCTATCTCCTACCTGTGGTGCTATTCCCCCTCTTGCCCAACCCATAGCCAAACCAAAGAAACCAAACAAATCCTACAAAGCCCAACGTGTAAGACCTAAATAAGTCTAACTAGATAGTCGCAACTTATTATCTGTACAGGTGGCCATCAGCCAACTGGTCTGTCGGGTAACTTTACAGTACGCAGCAGCTTCACCCAACAGCCTAAGTCAGACCGGAAACACTTAATTAGACCTCGCCCAACCTGATGCAGGCCTGACCAGTACTCGCAGGCGCCTCTCTCCCCCCAATCAGCCCCCCCCAAGCCCCACATGCCAGACGTCATAGAGCCCACCCAGCACCCCCAGCTCCTCAGACAGATCAACCATCCGATAGCCACAGGACAGCCTATACCTAACCCCATCAGGCAGCCACTGGTCTTGGCCATGCCAATAGAGTCCTAACCCTCAACATCATATAGCCAAGGGGGGCCCACCAGCCACAGCCAGGAGCTACAAAGGAGGTAGCACCAACACCCGAAGGCGCCGGCACTAGCCACACCATCCAATCCCAGCTGAACTGAAGTCTGACCAAGCTGGGAAAGAGTAAGCAGAGCCAGTTAAAGCCAGCCCTACAGGTCTGGCAGCAGGCACGGACTGAACAATGAGCAAGAGGCATCTCCAACTGACATGACAAGAAGGAGAGGGCGAATGAACAGAAGCAGACAAACAGAAGGTAGGCCCCACTTGCAATGGGTGAAGCTGACAACTACAATCCACAACCGAACCACTCAAACGCACAGACAACGCGAGTGCCTGGGAGCCAATCATCTTACACCACCCCAGGAAGCAACAGAAGACCATACCAGGGGGTAAGAGTTTTCATGGTCAAAGCCATCCCTACTGAGAGGGGGAGGAGACACCTGACTGAATCACCGTAAATGCCACAAGGACAAAAGCTCCAAAGGAACAGCGATAAAGATCATAGGATTTCGAACGTAGAAACATAATGTAATGAGGAAGGGCTGGGTGGGTACCATCCTGCCATCTGAGGAATGATGTGGCTGGTACAATGAGTTGATACTTGGGAAGGTCATCAGTCTAACCCAAGGGCGTTTTGTATTGTGAGAACTAAGGACTCTGTTAAAACCCAACAAGCAACATGAGCTGGCCCAGAGAACGACATGGGTGATCCCCTCAAACACAATGTTCAATTCCTCACAATCGAATGCAATACCTGCGAGTAGACGATAGATAAGAAGCTGAAGATATTTTACCAAAAGGGGCTTGTAAGCGACAGTGATGAATAGCTCGAAGTGCCAGCATGATGAGATAACCAGCAGGCGACGAAACGAGAAGCAAACAAGTAATCCGCCACGCAACGCCTAACAGACCTCAACACCAAGAACCCCAGGAACTACTGAGCGAACTCAGATATCTCCTCCAGAATCCAAGGCATTAAGGCCCATTATAGGTGGGAAAGAAACGCTCTGGGCGAAGCGATGGCAAGGATGAGGAAAAGTACTTAGAACAAAGCATGAAGAACCTATCCTCCTTGGCTGCATCAGCATCCTTATATAGTGTTCTTCCTATCCATAGTCATGTGACCCAAAGTGGTCACATGTGCGAAACCAAATCATAACAAACTAATCATGTGACCAAAGTGGTTACGCACTCAAAACCCATGACCATATAGCAAGGTCATGTGCGAAAACTCATAAACCAATTATAATACAATAAACAAGTCATATGACTTGACTGAGTCATATGCATGAAACCTAGGACCTCATAATGAAGTCACGTGTAAAACATAAATCGTATGCATAAAGTATACCCGCAAGGCATACTAGCAAGATGCACATCCCATGACTCATAATTGAGGCATGTGCGAACCATAATAAATCATAGCATAATAAATCACATGACCCAAATGAGTCATATGCGTGAAACAATAACATACCTATGACTCATAATCATGAGTCATATGAAAAACTTTTTCCATGCCAAGCCACATTCGTGACAAAAAGTCACCAAATCAAAAGGCTGAAGCAGGTAAGATGAATGTGGTGGGAGCCAAATAGGTACAACTTTATTGAAATAGCATAATTCAAAAAATTATTGGCCTTTGTGAGAACCATGTCCATCTAAAATGAGAATTCGCCAGGGCATCTGCCACTTAACTTTGGAAGGCTTTAAATAAGGTAAGAACACTTTCCTTAACTACTCATAAACTGTAACATAAGTTGCAAAGGTATTGTCTGTCTGAGCAAGGTAGAATTTGAAGTCTTCAATAAGTTATTTGTAACCTGGAAGGATACTCTTTGGAAAAACTGTCTTCTTCATGATGAACAATGGCGGGACAGATTTCCCAGTAGGAGTTATGCACTCAATGCATGTAATAAGTCTTGTGGGACCTGATGGTGTAGTGAAGGTCTGGTACTTTTTTGTGGTTTTAGTTCTCATCACAACTCGTTTATCATGTGAAGAATCACCAATTGCAAGGCCAGATTCATCCATGTTCTTGTTAGGAATACCAGAACCTGATACCTAGAAACCACCCTAAGTAGGGTAACCCCACTTGGAATTGGAATCTCTGGTCTCCAACACCCCCCTCCGGCTCCCTTACGGAGCCCATGCGTCATCATATATATCAATCTCAGTTGCGTCCTGTGACTATATTACCACAGAATTGAAGGTGTTCGAATAATATCATATACGTAGCCGCCGTCCGTCCGACCGAATTCTGTTCACAGGATATATGAGAGGGGACCTTCGGCTAGGTCTGGGAAGTGGAACGGAGTGATTCCGTCAACTACTCAGAAAGTTACTTGGCTCCAAATACATGATACCTTTCGTACAGGCCGTAAGTAATGGGATGATTTCGCATAAAAAGATGGTATCAAATGGTAAAGGATCTCTACTAGAGACCAATACATTTACATCCACCAGAAGAGTCTAGAACTCTAAAAGACACTACTAAAGAAGCCAATGAACTTCACGGAGTGTTGCAACTAGGTTTCGGAACACATCGTAATCATGGGGTGATCCTCAATACTACAATGGTTACTGAAACCTATTACCCAGAGAGCTACCAAGGGTTGCCGACCGAGGGATTAATTGCCAATCTGGTGGAATAGCTTCCTGCAAGTTGATAGGAAGTCATCTAGAGAAAATCTATCGGTTGGGTATGGAGTTACAAAGGATCGGAGTCAGACGACCTATGATAATTGTAATGACGACCACCTTTGCAGATATAGCCGTGGATAAAACTGATCATTTTATCAATGGCGAAGACAATTAGAGCCAACTAAGTTCGACTTAAGAACTAGGCCATAAGTCCAA